AAATAAAACAGTTCAACCCAATGTAACCGCTGACGAACTAAACTCATTTTTCGTGTCCGTCGGCCCCCGTATTGCTACCGAGATCCGAAACCAAAACACAGGTACCTATACTTACGCACGGCTCCCACGCGTCGGCGCATGCGGTTTCCAGCCCAGGCCTATCTCACTCGGTGAGCTCGAATGCACGGTTTTCAGTATGCGGAACTCAGCCGCCTGCGGAGCGGACGGTGTGTGCATCCGCATGCTAAAAACCAGTTTCTTGGCTATTGGCAGCGTCATACAGCACATCATAAACACCTGCATCTCGAAATCTGACATCCCCGAGCAATGGAAGCATTCCATAGTCCATCCCATTTTCAAATCCGGAAACCCATCTGACCCCAGCAACTTTCGACCCATTTCTCTAGTACCAGTTATCATGAAAGTTGTTGAACGAGTCATCCAGCAGCAGCTACAACACTATCTCTCTCAAAATCACCTTTTGGCACCTAGTCAGCATGGCTTTCGACCCCAACACTCAACTGAAACAGCACTTTTGTCCGTCACCGACCGCATCCTAGCTGCCACGGACAGGGGAGATATCTTTCCTATGCCTTATCGATCTCAGCAAATGTTTCGATGTCATAGATCATAAACTCCTTCTCGACAAACTCGCACTGTACGGCATCGAAACTCCTTGGTTTAAAGCATATCTAAAAGGTCACACACAAAGCGTTTCAATGACCGATGGACTCCAGCGCAGGGTTCTGTCACGACCACTCCCTAACACTATGGGCGTGTTTCAAGGCTCGGCCCTGGGTCCTCTTTTATTCACGATCTTCTCAAACGATTTGGCGCTTCACGCCGACGACGCATGCGTTTTCCAATATGCAGATGATACCCAGCTTCTAGTGAGTGGCCCAAAAAACAATGTAAGTGGCCTTATCTCGCGCATGGAGGCCTCACTAGAAGCACTGAACAAATGGTTCCACTCTAACGCCCTGAAGGTCAACGCGAGCAAAACGCAACTCATGATATTCGGCAGCCGTCAAAATCTAAAACACTTGCCCCCAGTCGTCGTATCGTTTCGTGACACGGAGCTGGAACCATGTGCGCAGGCAGGAAACCTCGGCGTGGTGTTTGACAGCTGTCTGACCTGGGAAGCCCATGTATCTGAGCTCAGCCGGAGGTGTATGGGTCTGCTCATCGGCCTCTCCCATGTGCGGCACTGTCTTCCCGATGGGGTCATCAAAACCATTGTCACATCTCTAGTCATCTCCCGAGTAAATTACTGCCTCTCAGTTTACGGAAATGGTACAAAAAAGAACCTGAATCGACTCCAAAAGATCTTGAACTTCGCTACTCGAGTTATTTTTGGCCGTCGCAAATTCGACCACGTCACTGACCTGCGCGAGAAACTCAACTGGATGCCGCCCGAATTTATGTACAAACTTCAAACCATGGCCACTGCACGTAAGGCGATACACTACGGCGAACCGGTAGCACTTGCCTCTATGTTTGCCAAAAACCGGGACTCCTCAACCAGGAATAGAAATACACGTCAGGATAACCTTCTCCAGCTCCAGCGTCCCAGACTAGAAACCGGTAAGCGGCGTTTCAGTTACCGTGCCGCCGAGCTCCTAAACGACCTACCTCCCGACCTCTCACAGCTGCCACCCTCTAAATTCGCACGCGCTGTCAAGTCTCTGTGGAAAAACGATAGACCTTCGTGATGGCCTGAATTAGGCACTCGTCTTGTATGTATATAAGTACCTACACGGTATGTTAGAAATCGTAGCATATAGAGTCTTCCTGTGTGTGCGTGTATGTGTGTGTGTGTGTGTTGTTGTTCGACTGGTCTCTGTTCCTGCATGCTTATACCCGACTCAGACTCTGGGCAGTAATCGCCACGCCATGTGTGGATCGCCCATGATCGTAAATACAATACAATACAATACAATACAGTCATGGAGTAAGGCCGCACGGGTCAGCCCGGATGACCTTCACGGCCTCCCTGGGGCCCCCGCGAGTGTAGTCGGCGTCAACTGGCCGGCCGGCCGGCCTGACGGCGGAAGCCGACGAGGCGCTGACACAACCAGGGACGGGGCGAGCAAAACGCTGAAAACGGGGACAGGGAGATCCAAGCTCCGCCATAGCTGTCGCCGTAGTTCATCATTATACCAAAGCCAGCGCAATAGAAACTCCCCACCTCTCGCCACACGGCCTGAAGAAATAATGACCTACACAGTGAACAGTTCGGCGTGCTGGGCCTTCCCCGTATAAACAATCCGCATGCACCTAACAAACCCTCTTGCCAAGCAGCACAACAGCCGCGCAGAAGGGGGTCTTTGATGTGAACTAATGCAGCCGCGGGTAATCCGACCATCATCCGCCTCTGGCCACCATTAGGTTATGCAAATACCTCCAAACGTCGATACTATTAGATATCCGCAGCTCAAATGTGAGCGTTCAGCGCGCAAGATATCGACGAATAGGTTATCGACATCAGGACGGCATCGTCAACGAAAACTACCTCGCCGAAACCCGGACAAGTCCACCACCCGGAATCGACGGGCTCGTTTCGGCTGGCAGTGCGTCCGTCGGAGTTCGACCGTGGTCGCTACCGCCATTGGTTGCGGACGGACAGGCCTGGCTACGCTCCAAGTGGCCACAGCTCGAGTAAAAAGGCTGTGGACACCCCCGGCCCGCCGCTCGCTTCAGTGAGTCAGTCCCCAGCTTCACAATGCACGGGCCTGTTTTGAAAAGGACTATGAATACAAAATTGTATCCTGTAGACCACACAAACGCAGAGCAATTACAAAACGACATGCATAGCAGCTGGATTGCAGACGAATGTGAGCAAAATGTTTCATGGTCCTACAACTGGAAGCTCAGTTCCTTCCCATTGGTAAGCATGCGACAAGTTTTGAGTTGCAAATAATAAACAAGTAACGAAATTGAGCGAACAAAACAACCAACTCACTGGAACATTGACAAACTTCGAAAAATGAGATCAAGAAGAAAAAAAACGCATTTAGAGCCGTTTGGCAGACCAAATATCATGACAGAACTGCCGTTCCAGATGCCCTGAAAGCCGGCAGCCCCTCATTACTTAGAACCAGGGATGCGGAGCCGGAGCCGGAGTCGGAGCCGGAGCCGCCGGAGCCGGCATATTTTGCCCGGAGCCGGAGCCGGAGCCGGAGCCGTGAAACAAAATAGCCCGGAGCCGGAGCCGGAGCCGGAGCCGCCAAAAAAGGGGGCGACTCCGGCTCCTTTTTATTTTTTGAAGAGGAAAAAAAATAATAATTGACCTAGTTCGGTTTGACAGTACAAGGCAGTAAAACATATGGTACTTACGTCATGGGCCATCAAGTGAATGAAAAAATCCGAATATCCCCAGTATCCCACAGTACGCAAACAACTTCCTGTTTGCTCTTCCCCCCCCCCCCACGTCTACTGCATCCCCTGAACATGAGGACCAGTCATCAGGTGACGGCCATTGTTTTCAAACCAGTGCAGTGGACTGCGACTCCCAGCACCGTCTCATCCCACACACCCCCCACCCCTCACCCCCAATGCAGCCGAGACGGGTGTCAGCTTACGATGGTTCACTGAACTCCGATTCGCGGCGACTGCGTTTCCAATGCCATCGCTTCCTAGCCCTTTGTTCTGCCAGTTCTCTCCGAGGTGCGTTTGCGCGGGGACGCGGTGAGGCGGTCATGGCAAAGAGTAACGCGTATAACCAATCCAATTTTTCTTCCACCCGTATTTAATTGATTGCGTAGGGGATGTACTGAGTCGGAGCCGGAGCCGCCGGAGCCGGAGCCGCCGGAGCCGGACCATTTTACTCGGAGCCGGAGCCGGAGCCGGAGCCGCCATAACATTTCACCCGGAGCCGGAGCCGGAGCCGGAGCCGATTTTTTTCTCCGGAGCCGGAGCCGGAGCCGGAGCCGTCTGAAATTTCCACGGCTCCGCATCCCTGCTTAGAACGTCCCCCTCCCCACACCACCCCCGCTCTACGGGGAAGCAGCGCCCGTAGCCCGGCCGTGCCAGCTAACACTTGGTGATAGAGATCACCGGCCGCCGCCCGTCCAGTGCCAACGCGACGTGTTGAAGGGAGGAGAATTCCCCAGCACTCCGCTCCTCTAAGAGAATTCCTGGCAATCTGACTCATTCCGGGAACTTCCCGACACTGCCGCCAGTTCGGCCGGTGCCAGCTCCCGGTGCCGTGTTGAGGAATACACCAAACAGGGCAGTTGACTGACATTATCGCTCTGAGTCTCGACCTCCTGAGCCACGACCGAGCAGTGCACGCGCAGCATGCCCGCGGAGGTGCCGGGTGCCAACACTCGGCGCAGTGCAAAGCTCAAAAAGCATCGGTCGGTCATGCGCCGCGCGGCGTTACCTATGGGCGGCAGGACGAGCGGCGGTTTGGCTGTCACCGCGCGCCCGCTACCCGGGGAGACAGCAATCCGGGGCAGGACCGTGCCCTCGGCCGGCGCACCGCTCGGGGGCAACGACTTCTTGTCTGCAAAAATACAGGTGGCCGCCGGCCCGAGCGCTGCTGAGGGGGGAGGCTTTACCCTGAAGCAGTGCTCTGTTTTCGTATTGATACCTTGCAAGCATCTACTTTATATCCACGTTCAGATAGCCCGCACCGCGATCTACAAGTTAAACTACAACATGCTTCCTGCAACCAGTTCTACTAGGGATGGGGCGACTACGGCCTACCAGCGGGAACCCAACTACAGGCGCCTCACCTATGGGCAACTAACCCATCAAACAGAAAGTCTCTTAGATATGTGCTATGACCGAGCTCATTTAGGCCTAAGGCGACAACTGACCACCAAACCATTACACTCGCGACTCTATTTACAGCATTCTTATTCACACTACTGAGATGAGAGATCGACGCAAAATAAGCAAGAAAGCACAGCGTCAGCCCGGTAGTTCAGCCACTGTATCAGACCTTTCAGAACCAAACTGACCCCCCTCCTCCTCTCACAACCGGTCGCACCCACCTGGGTCAGGTCTGGCGGCCGGCGCGGTGGCCGCCGGCGGCGGGGCCGGCCCGGCGCGTCGTCCCAGCTGCGGCGGCGTGTCCTCCGGGGGCAGGGGGCGCGGCCGCGGCGGCTCCGGACGATGGCTCTCGACTACCATCGACAGGCGGCCGTTCGGTGTGTCTGCGGCAAGAAGTGAAAGGTGTCAGACACACTGGTCCGGCGTTACAGACAGTGCGTTGCAGAATAAAAGGAAGGGGTGTTTACGAGAGATTAAATTACACATTGTCGATATGAGGTGTTACGCAGTGCCGCGGGCGGCACAGCCTACAAACTGTCAGGGAAGGAGGCTCAAAGACGAGCGGGAAAATATGAAGGAAGGGTTTTGTCAGACGACAGGTTGTTGCGTCTTGCGTGGAACAGAGACCGGGTAGAAGGGGAGCCGTTCATCCATGGACAACCCTGTGTGCGGGGTCAGTGGTTACTAACGGTGGGAACGGGTCAGGTGAGTGGTGTCAGGGGTGCTGATACGGTTGTCAAATCGGGTAGGTCGGGGGTGAACGTAACACGTGGTATGACAGCAATGACCTACGATGCGCCCACTTTTCCTAGCTCACTCAGCACCATCGAGACAACCGACGTCCACACTCCTTCACAAGTGGATACGTGGATATAGCGTGATCAAACCAACAGCACCAAACACAAACAACATTGCATTTACCGATACCTTGACGTGAAAAAGTGAAAAGCCTCGTTTTACGTGAATCTTTTTTTAAATAAACGAAAATGAACTAGAACTCAGTGCCCAAATCCTAATCGCAGGCAGAGGAGGAGCGGATGTCGCGGGTATCCCTTATAATTGTGTCATGCCGTCACCGTAACGGTTCACACACGCGTCACGAGGACTATAGACCGAACTCGGGCCAGTGAGCGCCTTACGTAACACGGCCACCGCGGCGCTGGTACCCACTCCACAATACGTGATGCCAATACCAGATAAAACTAGCTCAGCAGCTATGCCAAAACACTCTGTTTCATGACATCGGCAGATCACATCGCGTCCAGTCCAAATCCAAACGACTGTCACGTGACTGGACGGCAGCGATCATTCGCAGCTGGTAGGCAGGTCACGTGGCCAGGTCAGCTGACGCGGCGGTCGTGAGCGATCATAGACGTAGGGTAGACGTGAGCGTAGGGTCACTGGGGTCGACCCCAGGCTGGCCGAGCAGTACCTACTGCGCACCATCCGCCCTCAGAGACCCAGTGGAGGAGACCTTATTAACATTACCGCCCGGTAATTGACCATTTTTCGATAAAACCGTCGGCGCGATAGCCATTACGCCTGATGGCGATGGGTTCGGGGTTGGCCGCAATGTGTCGTTTCGGGCGAACCACGCCGGGCTATTGAAAGAAGCGTTCCATGCCGTCCTCTCACAGGCCCCCAAATTGTGGCTTCCGACGAATTCTGTAACCAGCTCGATGCCAAGCCGAACGACAATCAACACGTATGTTCATACAGCCGCATCATGATTACATAAACGCACAAACCCCGCTGTTTTGTGTCGTTCGGAGCCGGTCGAACCCTGATAAGATAGCCAGGAGCGCTGCGTACCTACCCAGCGGCTCTATGTCAGCCGGCTGATCGGTGGCCGCAGCCGACGGGGGTGGAGGGATGGGGTGGGAGAGAGAGAGAGAGAGAGAGAGAGAGAGAGAGAGAGAGAGAGAGAGAGAGAGAGAGAGAGAGGGAGAGAGAGAGTGGCGGGAGGGAGGAGGTAGGAGGGTGGGAGGCAGTGGTCGGTGGTGACGGCGCGTGACACCCAGACGTTATCGTTCAGATGTCGACAGTGACCGACGGTGGTCGCTCCCATGACGAAATTCGCGGAGTTTAAGAGTAGCACAGGCCACACTGGTAGATTGAAACGGTGGAGCCATGTGAAACATGGAGCCCACGAAGTTACACGCTGAGGGTCGTTTGCAAAAAAAGCGATTCCATTCTAGCGCATCCGCGTAACTCGTCGTTGTTAGCGTATCGTCACGATGCGCGTCACGATGCACGAAACACACTGTCTCCTGTACTAAGGTCACCCGGTACTCACATACTCCCAGCACCGTCCCTTCCATCCAAAACCCAGATTGCAAGCAGCACTCCCCGCTACGATGTTCTCTATCGAACGATTATCTCTTAATCGGTACTCTCGCTGGGGAGCGACCATCCCTCGCACCTCCCTTCCCATTCCACAGACGTCCCCCTTACCCCATCGCTCAAAACCCCCTCAAAACCTTCGAGTGGGGGATATAGCTTCCACACCGAACTCAAATAAATAGCTCTGACACACCGAACTCAGAACTACCAATAAATAGCTTCCACATCGAACTCCAACCTCCGACCTCCCGGCTCACCTCCGCGGTCGTGGTTGGAGCGCACACTGCCGGAGGGTCGGAGTAGCGGCGTCAGACGGTCCAGCGTCTCACGGCGCACCGACATGCCTGACAGGGTCACGGAGAGCTCCGCCAGACACGGAGAGTCGGCCGGCTTCCCGGGAGCCACCATCCGCACCTGGACCTGTCGGCGGGACAGACGTGGAGAGGGTCGTCACTAAGACGGCAGGGGAGGCAGGCAGGGCGAGGTACGGCCGTTATTGGGGACGCGGAGACAAAAAGACACGCTGACAAGACACTGGGTAAGTGACTTTAACTGGTGGGCTAGGATTTGATGGAGTGTTAGCTACGAGGTCACGGTGCCCAGATTACAGAACGAAAACCAGAACATAGCCTGGGGGGGGGAGGGCACAAACGCATGGCTATCGTTGGTAAGTGAACACATGGGATACCTGAACGCAATCTACTGAGGTGCAACCATACAACACACACTGTGAAAAGGAGTGGGGGAGGGTGAGAGCACTGGGCAGAAGGCCAACCACAGTACGCGATCCATACAAACAGTGAATTTCCCTGACTTAACGCGACGATCGTTACAGGAAATTCCCCTCAAGGTCGACAGTGTGTTTCCTCACACGTAACGCGGAATATCATCTACGCGGATGTCCCCGATTATTGGTCGAAAAGCACCTTCCTTAGCTTCCCGCTGGAAACTTTGCCATTACAGAGGCTCAGACAGCCATAAGCCCAAACGGGATTTGGATACACAATGTATGTTACATAGCAATGCGTGCTACGTAGAAGCTATGCATTACAAACAGCTGTTGTGGCCTAACGAGTTATCTGCGCCGCAAAACATTATGATCGAACAACAAATCGGCTACGCCATACAAGCCATGGCCTGAGCTTCAAGAACTGTGTCGACCCCGGACGGCCACGTAACTCCGTAGCCGATCGATAACCCTGCAACCACGGTATGTCTGTGACCTCGATTTGCGTTCCGCCACACCAGCGCACCCAAGCTTAGAGAGTTGAGCGCACGGCGTGGCTTTAGCGCACGGAGTAAGTTAAGCTCGCTGCCGAGTTGAGCACACTACCGTGGGTTGGGCGCGCTGATGTGAGTTAAGCACACGGCATAAAATGAGCGCAGAGCGAGAGTTGAGTGCTCTACCGTGAGTTGAGCCGGCTCACCTGGGCGTTGTTGAGTTTGCCGTCGTGCTTGAGCAGCACATCGGGCAGGTCGAGCACCGACTCGGAGAGACGCTGGTCGCGCTTTATCGAGCTGTGGTCGAGTACGGCCAGGTGGATCCGAGACGAGGGCTTCACCAAACTGGGGGCAGAAGGCGGACGTCCGTCAGCACGACACAAAGCGGTCGGTGATCACACGAATGCACGGGCCTATCCACTGCGGCTAGGGTCAGAAGGAAGTGGCCCACTTGATCCATACCGCGTTCCAGGAAAGAATCTTTCAACAGGGTAGAAGCCTGTCCCAAGGCATTTAACCCTCGCATGTGTAGGGGGGGGGGTCGGATGGACCCCCCCATGTTTTTTCGCGAATAACTCGCGTAAAAAGCGGCCGATCGCGACGAAACTTTCAGTACCCTCACATTGATCAATTTTACACCTACCCTGAAAATTTCATGACCCTGACCCAAATGACCTTTGACCTGTGACCTCTTTTCCGAGACCATGTTTGGCCGGAATCGCGATTCTGCGTATGTCGGCTCGCATTAGCCGCGCGTTTGCAAGCTTTTCGTGGTTTCAAACGTTCAAACATGTGATTTGATGTTACTTCCATGCATTAGGGTGGGTGTCAAGGTCACCTGAAGGTCAGGTCAGGTCATTGACCTTTGGTGACCTCGGGTGACCTCGGTTCACTTTTTCGAGCTGTACATGTTTCTAGGCTAGTTTTTGGAGCTGAATTCGAATTTAGCAACCATTTGAACATTTACTAAGTAGTTTTGGTGCCTTCGTAACATGTTACGAAGCTGTCAGAGGCGGTTGACACGTACTACGAATACCCGTCACGACGCCTACTGGTTGACCTGACCTGACCCGACCTGGTCTAAATGCTTAAAGACCTCATCTGTGATCAAAACTAACACGATATTCGTGATCAGCACCCCGAAAAACCCCTTAGCAGCCACACTTTACGACTTTCTAACAGGTCCCGATTTTCCCGCTTTTGGGTCATTGACCTGACCTGGAAGGTCAACCAATGACCTAGGACCTTAAAATTGGGTATCATCGGCTTCCTCTCGTCACGGGCAGCACGCTCGTTTTTTCCGCGAAGCTCTAGCTCGATCAGGGGCCAAACGGCAAGGGGGGGGGTCCAACCGATCCCCCCCCCCTACACATTAGAAGCTGGCAAACGCCGCACACATGCGAGGGTTAAGATACGAGTTAACCCGCGCCCCGTAGGGCTACCGGCGGACCCTACCACCCGTAGGGGGGGGGCCGTTTCGGCCCCCCCCCCCTAAGATCTCGGAAAGTTACCGGCCGATTTTCAAAATTCAAACGGCGTTCGATAGCCCCTCCCGGGAACTACCTTGTGACCAAATTTCATTGACCTAGGTCAAACCGATGACGTCACAGGTCAGGTCAAAGGTCAGATTTTCACCGTTTACAGGCAATTCAAGAAATGTGCTGTGAAAGCGAGTAAATTGGTAATTTATTGAAAACCATCGATGGTACATTGTTCGTCAAACACATACTTTACTATCTGAGGTCACTGATACCAGGTCAGGTCACAGTGAGGTCAGGTCACCGGGGGTCACAATATGAATGTGTCGTGTGATACATGTTTTATGGTCCATTTTACATGACAAATGCGATTATGTGGGTTAGGCAGCCTTTGGGGCCAGCCTAGGTCACTTTTTTGTGAAGGTCAGGTCAAGGTCAGGTCAAATTAGGTCAAATTTCAAAGTTGATATTTTTGCATAAAATGGGTATCGATTCGATGCAGCTCGTCACGGGGAGTCTAATGGTGGTCTTCGTTTTGCTCTACGAGTTCTAGAATTGCCAAAAATTGAGTTTGAAAATTTGACGTCATCATTTTTGAACAGTTTTTTCGCTATAACTTGGCCAAAAAACGAGGTATCGATCTGAAATTTGGTATGTAGATAGAAGACGGTAGGCACTATCACATATATTCCGGTTTTTTTTCGAAACTCAAAAAACTTTTTGGATTTTTTGGCGAATATATCCAAAAAAATGCTTTTTTGATTTTTGGGGGTCAAAACTCAAAAATTTTAAAAATTCGAGATAGCAGTTTTGTAGCCCTGTCAATTCTACACCTTTTATGTCTTGATCATTTTTCTGTATCTTCAAAGCTGTAGTCCTGACAGGTCTTCTCGCGAAGGTCTTTTTTCGGTCGAAAATGACAGAACATGACGTCACTCTGACGTCATTTGTGGCCAACCTATCATAGCCTCTGGAAAAATTTTTGGTCACAATGTGTAAAATTGATGCCCGGAGGGGTCCTGAAAGTTTGGTGGCGATATCTCCAGCCGTTTAGGAGATATCGACCGAAAAGGACGGGGGGGGCCGTTTCGGCCCCCCCTACGGGGCGCGGGTTAAAACAGTCACGCGTCACTCATGGGACCAACCACTCCCCAGCCACAGAGCTCACAGCGATACACGCAGCGGGCGGTACAAGACCGAGTTGATCGTTCAAAGAACACACGCTAAGTCGATACTGCCACGAGTCCGCACGAGTCGATACTGGATGATTGCGCTCGTTTGCCAAACTGACCACGCCGAGTGCCTCCCAACCACAACGTATGTGACGGAAACCCTCAGACGCCCGTTACCATGGCATCTGAGAATGATACATCCTACAGTTGTTGTAAAACTTGCTCAGGGATGTGATGAAATGGGACAAAAATAAGACCAGCAGTGGGTTATAATAAGAAAAGGAATTCAAGTTATGTAAGATTTAAATATAAATTTGAGTACGCATAAATTATCGATGTGGGCACCAGAGCAGCCGTCTAAAGACAGCCGATAGGTACCGTGAAAGTAACATAGCCACTTCTATCTGCTCTTAAAAGGAGTAGACACCGTACCACACACTTAGTAGGTACTCACACTGTGAACGACTCGTTCCAAGTCGGCTTGTAGGTGCTTTTGACTGATACAGTCTTCAATGAGCTCTTGCTGTCATCCACAACAATTTCCACATACGGATTCGGTTTGAAGAATCCATTGGCCCGTATTTTTCCAGATACCACTGGAAACAGAGAGAGAGTCAGCTGGAAAAGGGTTGCGGCAGGTCGCTCGCAGTTTGCGGCGGAGTAATTCAATCAAAAAGCGGTAAAGACTCGCTGATTCGACTGACGGCACGTTATTTCGGCGACCGTGCCAGCCGCACACTGCTAGCTCCTCGACCGGCGGTCTCTTCTGACTGGCAGAGAAAACAAAAAGCTGAGTTAGCCTTAGATCAAGGTAAGTCAAAACACTAATGGTTTCCTTGAATACAAATCCACTCTAATTAGGTTGAGCTGGAGGTAGCAGTATTTAGCCGAGCCGCTGAGCTCCTATATTACCTGTGAGGTTGAGCTGGTGGTAGCAGTGTTCAGTTGATTTGCTGAGTTTGTATGTTACCTGTAAGTTTACACTGGTGTTTGTATATCTTACCTGTGAGGTTGAGCCTGGTGGTAGAACTAGTTAGTCGAGCCTCGCATTTGTATATCTTACCTGTGAGGTTGAGCTGGTGGTAGCCGCCCGCTGAGGCCGATCGGCTGCTCTCTGCATTAGCTGCTGCTGCCATCAGTCGGGGTCAGAGGACCATCGCGGTCTGCTGACGCCCGGTCCCGCTGTGTAACACAGACATACAAACAGTCAGACCATCAGAGGACCATCGCGGTCTGCTGACGCCCGGTCCCTCTGTGTATCACACAGACAAACACAGTCAGACCATCAGAGGACCATCGCGGTCTGCTGACGCCCGGTCCCGCTGTGTATCACACAGACACAAACCCAGTTAGACCATCAGTCAGAAGACCACCGAGTGAGGACCATGGCCTTAGACCTTCAGCGACGTGACACGTTACGTCAGTTTCTACGGTCACCATTCACGCTCCCACCATGCACACCAGTAACATTTAAAAATACACCGAAGAGTAAGATCTTAGCAGATCTTTGATTCAAAAATAATTTAATTCAATAGTAAACTGACTGAGACATAATTATTCAATAATAATATTTTTCCTCAATAATAATTTAGTAGTCTCTGTACGGAGCAGCAAGTCACTGACGCGACCCGGGATTGTAATGACGTCAGAAGATAGCGGCACTGATAGAACGCCCGCTCCGTGGAGAGACGCCGCTCCCCTCCTCTCCCCCACCGGGCGAGACCAATACAAAGGCCGCGACAGCTGCGACCACCCGCCGACATAGTCTGAGCTGGACAACAGGTATTAGAGCGAACGCCAGTCGCCGGAAGCAGGAGCAAACACTGAACACATGGATCAGATGAAACGCACAAAATACACGAATGTTGTACATTCGAAATCGGCAAGGCCGTGGACTCTGGGAGTGTGACTATGTTCCTTTTACTCAGCGGCGTGGGGTGTATTTACGAGTACGTTGTCCCTGGCCGCCAATGACACCACGGCCGCGCGTGCCAACATCGCTCTCTCTCTCTCTAACCCCGCCCCCGTCTCTAGCAAAACAACAACAGCGGTCCACCGTCACCGTGCCAGATCTGAGCCAGCGAGACATGGACGGGCCCTGACACGTCACTAGAGATGTCAATTCCAGAGTATTGAGAAACCAAAAGTCAAAACCACACTGATACATATAATCCATGGAAAATGGCAAAACTATTAATGACTCGAGATATTGAGAAAATATATGGCGTCATTAAACAAAGCTATTGAATTCCTCAGTATGCCTAAAAATGACAACCCGTTCTTGTCAGTATGCCAGTAAGAATGACTGACTCAGCAAAAAAAACAAAAAACTATGTAACCATACATATAAAAGCGACTAAAACGAAATACCGAACTGGCACCGGATCGATGCCAATGACGCTCCCAATGAACATTTCTAAGCATCCCAAAGTCTGTTTGACCACCACACACCAGCCATTTTTCCTAGTTCCGGATTGGAGAGTTCCACAGTAGCCGGTGCGAAGATATCGATCTCGAGCGCCAATCGCCAGCGCTCGCCACCGTGTGAGCGGCGGGAGACACGCCCGGCCCGCCGCCTGGACATCTGCGGCCGCCGGGACGTCTGCCGCGGTCGGCGGATGTAACGGACGGAACGGGGCCGGCTTCCGGCGCTGGAGCGAGCAGTTCGGACGGCGCTTCGAGAGCGGACCGTGCGAACTGCATTGGGAGGCCACAGTTGTCGGGTTGTCGGTTTAACCAAAGAAAGAATGCACAGCTTGCGGGAACTGACCATCTCTGCTGATACAGCCGAGAAAATGAACAGATAGTTTAGTCATCACAATCATTAAAATTGAGCGTTAGAGCATGAATTGTTGACAGTAATCTGAATATACCCTCCTCAAAATTCAATGCAATTTACCGTTTTAATCATCAGCAGATAACATACGAAAGCTGGATACAGAATGACAATGAATGGGCACATGAAAAACAATATGAAAAAAGAAAATATTGGATACTACCAAATGCCTAATGCCTATGCATATCAGAAACTAGCAGTAGAGGCACTTTCTAAAAATATCTCAGTTGACTTGGTAATTTGGTAGGCAGACAACTGAACCAGTGACAACTGAACCAGGGACAACTGAACCAGTGACAACTGAACCAGCGACAACTGAACCAGTGACAACTGAACCAGTGACAACTGAACCAGCGACAACTGAACCAGTGACAACTGAACCAGCGACAACTGAACCAGTGATAACTGAACCAGTGACAACTGAACCAGTATGACAACTGAACCAGTGGACAACTGAACCAGTGGACAACTGAACCAGTAGACAACTGAACCAGTGACAACTGAACCAGTGACAACTGAACCAGTGACAACTGAGCCAGTGACAACTGAACCAGTGACAACTGAACCAGCGGACAACTGAACCAGTAGACAACTGAACCAGTGACAACTGAACCAGTGACAACTGAACCAGTGGACAACTGAACCAGTGGACAACTGAACCAGTGACGACTGAACCAGCAAACAACTGAACCAGCGGACAACTGAACCAGCGGACAACTGAACCAGTGGACAACTGAACCAGTGGACAACTGAACCAGTGGACAACTGAGCCAGTGGACAGCTGAACCAGAAACAATTCTAATGTCGTACTGCGCTGTATAGGTATAAGGTAGCGCGTGGCTGGACGGACGGACTGTACCAATCTGCCGGTCTGCCAATTGATCTGTGTCAGTGTCCGTCCGAGAGCCGTACGATGGCTGACAGGGCTGACAGAGCCTGGTGGTCGCGAACTGACCGTTACGCCCACCTGGGACGCCCGAATAGTTAGCAACGTATAAATAATATTCACTTTGATGGCGTAACTCGGGACAGACAGGGCATGTAACGTGGGCTTGGCAGAGTTCAGCCCGCTTGGGCCCAGAGGAATCTCCGGTATATAAATGGATTGACTGCTCGGGCTTACATCGGGCTTGCGCCAAACGTCGCAGAGCTAAGGCGTAACTACGGCTGTCCTGAGCTCGCCGAGCGCGCATACCTCCGGCAGAGCATTGGCTTTAGTCGGCGTTTTTGAGTCATACGCCGACTGCCCAAACGCTAGCTGGCTTTAGCCCAAGCGCTAGCCGACTTTCGCCCGACTAAAAATCTCGGGCAAGCCTCACTTCAGCCTGCTTGGGCCCGGAGTAAAATTGCTGGCTGGGCTACTGGTTCAGTTGTGACTGGTTCAACTGTCAATGGTTCAGATGTCTCTGGTTCAGTTGTCACCGGTTCAGTTGTCACTGGTTCAGTTGTCACTGGTTCAGTTGTCTACTGGTTCAGTTGTCTACTGGTTCAGTTGTCCACTGGTTCAGTTGTCCACTGGTTCAGTTGTCACTGGTTCAGTTGTCTACTGGTTCAGTTGTCCACTGGTTCAGATGTCCACTGGTTCAGTTGTCCACTGGTTCAGTTGTCACTGGTTCAGTTGTCACTGGTTCAGTTGTCACTGGTTCAGTTGTCACTGGTTCAGTTGTCACTGGTTCAGTTGTCTACTGGTTCAGTTGTCTACTGGTTCAGTTGTCTACTGGTTAAGTTGTCCACTGGTTCAGTTGTCCACTGGTTCAGTTGTCCACTGGTTCAGTTGTCCCTGGTTCAGTTGTCACTGGTTCAGTTAACACTGGTTCAGTTGTCCCTGGTTCAGTTGTCCCTGGTTCAGTTGTCACTGGTTCAGTTGTCACTGGTTCAGTTGTCCCTGGTTCAGCTGTCACTGGTTCAGTTGTCACTGGTTCAGTTGTCACTGGTTCAGTTGTCCTGGTTCAGTTGTCACTGGTTCAGTTGTCATGGAACCGGTAATTTATTGAATGGCATCCAATTCCAGAGCCACCAATTGAAGACTGCCTAGTTTGAACCTCTTTGGCAACAACTTTGACAATGCACTATTGACAGGAAAGAACTAGCCGGCAAAACTTACTGACTTTGGCTGTCAGTGGTACTGATATGACATGCTGACATACAATTTGATTTTCAGTGACTGCTTGTAAGTGGATTTGATAATAATTTTCATTCATTTATCTGCTGAGAATGTGAGAATGTAAGGCCATGACTACTCATGTGAACACACTGAGCACTCCATACAAATGTCAGTTGACTACTAAGAACTTTAATGGTACATTATTATTATCACATAACAAAGGTTGACAAAAGTCTGACACAGCATGATACACATAAAATGACAAAAAAATACAGAATAAACTATTTCATTACAGCTGATGAATGAGAGCCTTGCTAGTCCTAAAATATATGGCATAATACAGTTTTCAAGTGTATAGGTACTCTGACTGACAAAATGTGATTTACCTTTTGATCACTTATTCCAAAACTGTTATGACTGGTGTTACATTCACAGTGTCACAAAATTATATTAATGCTTGGGTGTTAGGGGGAAAACTCCTCTCCAAAAAAAGGGATGAGGGTGGTATATTCTTGATAAGATTAGCCCCCTCCCACAAAAAAAGAACAGAAGGAGATTGCACACTTTTCTGTACATTGGTAGAATCTGATGCGATCATGCAAGCAGATGCTCTTTCATGAGTGGTAAATTGCTCTTGAAAGTTGGAGGTGGGAGTGGAAAATTATTTTCATTTGGATGTCTTGTTCCACCCAAATTGACAAATTTTGGGACACTGTACATTCATGTCATTTCTGCAACAGCATCTGCTGTTGAATGATACTCAATGTTTCAACAAGGCAAAGTATGTCAGCATTTTATGCTTAGTCCCACTTATGTATAGGTACATCTAAAAAGATTCTATTTTTTAGTTAATTAACCAGGTTACATACCTAACTGAAGTTCTACATTACTACGGCTACAAAGAAAAATCCAGAAAAAAAATGTATAACACTAAAGTAGAAGCATATGGAGTAAAAATTGAAATATAACAATGAGTATGAATAACACTGAGATTAACAAGCATACAAATATAAGTACTTATTGAACAGAAAAGGAAAATGCCACATTAAAACTTAACAATGTTTTCACAATGTGCTGTAGCCATTTATAAAACAGAACAGCATTCCAAATCCTCCAAATATGTGCTTGTAAATACAGCAAAGACCTTTTATAAATCATCGCTCTAGAATTATCACAAGTCTTTAAACATTAACCATTTGCCTTACTTACCTTGCTGCATTTATTTTCTCATCGGTACTTTGATATGCTTCTCAACACAAATTCCCATAAAAGATGGAAGTCCCCACAATGTTTGCTATCCTAATACATTACTAGCCTCGTAATCTACCCACTAGCCTCGTATTCAATAGGTACCTACATCAATGTCTTAAACCATGGCCTGCTGAAAAATACTGTCAGAGTCAGAGTCTCTGAGCCACCAGGTAAGCTGGGCTTCAAAAGTATTGATCTAGCTAAGCTACAAAATGAAAATCACTTTGCCAAGAGACGCATTCCTACGTCACTGCAAACTGCGCCACATTCGTAGCACAATGAATCAGTATTAATTTTTCACTTCTCACTGAACGGACTCGAACCTGCATGCAAAAACAGACTAACGAATACTATATCTCGTGTTGAAAGAAATATAAATATAAAAGAACACAAAGACGCTAAGCTAACCTTACCACGCAGATTCAGCTCTCGCAAGTCCCGAGTCAAAAACTTCGACGTTGACCCACTCCGTTTAGAAAGGTATTCACATCATGGATCTCAATCTAAAGTCGTTATTTTTCAATAATGCCGATAATAAAGTAACATTAATTGATCCAAACACCTTCGAAGCTTCGATAAATTGATTATACGTGAAGAAATTAATAAATGCACACCACCTCACTCTCACACAACACACAGCGAAATGCGAATAACAATAACGACAAATGTGACGCATTATGTTGACCAATTTCACTCAAAGGTATTAATAAAATAATGCATAGATTTTTACACATTTATTTTGAATAAAGTGAGCAATTTGGGAAGAATATTTAAATTATTCATACTGAAAACTATACTTTTTAGCCTTTTTAAAAATTGTATATTTAAGACATCCTCAAAACCCGATAGGCAACGACGAAGAAAAGACCTGCAACTTTTTAAGTTCCAACGCTAAAGCGGCCGGTTGGATCGTCTCGGCTTACCACAAATGCAAATGAAATATTTCGTGTAAAAACATAAATTCATAGTTTCCAGGCCAAATTTTCCTTCGATTACACAGCAATGCATAATGAATAGAAATATGAGATGTTTTGAGCACTTGGATTGGTTTTGGGGATAAGATGGCCCTCTCCGGCAGTGTCCGACGACCGACACCGCGCCTTTCAGAAGCCGCCTATACTTCAAAACTTCTACAGTCAATATTTTCCGGTATTCGGGTCATTGCGCAGACTGTGAAGGTCGACCGATTACTTACGACCATAAAATTGGGTCAATACGAGCCGCTCTAAACGTTAGCCGCTGTGTTATACCCAGAGGTGGGCATCGCTACCGAAATTTGGAAACCGCTACCGCTACCTTCCGCAACCTAAGGTACCCAAAGCGCAATCGCAACTCCGAAACTATTTTGCAGATCGTAAAACCGCAACTCGCAACTCCGCAACTCCGCAACTCCGCTACCAACCTCTATTAGGTTCCTATGTTTTATCAGTTTTAGTCCTGTGCAGTGCGGTCTGACAGGTAGTACCTTTGGTTGACCTCTGTTGGTGACCTGACTGTTGGTGACCTCTGATGACGTCACGTGACCTATAATGCTCAATGCGCAAGTCATTGCGACACCAGTCGACGTAGGGTAAGGTGCCTAATTAGCGACCCCCTTAAAGGGACCCTCCCACCTTCAAAAAAGTTAATGAATTGGCATGAAAGTGATGTCGCTCGGTTCAGAAAGAGCAAAAACGAATATCTACCAAATTTCATCGAAAAATATTCACCGGTTTTCAAGATATTAGACTTTTAGTTTTGTTTACTTTTTGGGATCTCCGCTGTTCCTAGCGACTTTATTTGAAAGTGCGGCATTTGTTGCGCGCAAAGCAGCATATACCACCGCGTACTACAAAACGTTTTAGTCAAACATTTAACGGACGTTCGAAAGCCTGATGACGTCATCAGATTCCCGTAATGGTTAAGAGATAGGGACCACGCTGGTCCCACCCTGCAAGTAAAGGGAAGAAATTTCTTGAACACCATAAAGCTGCGGGGGTTGCGACCAGGATAAATGGTGGTTTCTGAGCCTGGCCGCAAACTTGGCTATCTCAACTCAAAACTAATGTTAAGGTGGGAGGGTCCCTTTAATTTGAACCGTCATTGCTCACGCTCTGTGGGTGCCACTGTATTACTGGCTTGATTTTCGGAGAGATCGTTCATTTTTCTATTAGAATATAGTCATTTTCTGCCCCAATATTCACTAACTTATTTGTAGTGAGCATTTTGGCAAACCATTGCAAAAAACGCTAATAGGGAACTCTTCCCGATTAGCGACCGGGGAGGGTCGCTAATAAGTCTATGGGTTTCCCCATATTAAAAATGGCAAAAAATGCGACGCCTGAAAAGATGAAATATGATCTCAAAAAGGTTACCTATACGCAAAGCACTCAATCACTCGAACAGGAACGTTTATCCAACACATTTACGTAAGTAAAAACTGATCACGTGATGCACCGAAGACGAAAAGAAGGCGGAAACCCAAATTTTGCGGGCTATCTCGTATGATATTCGAGGTCCGCGCTGAATTCGGCACCCCTGCAGTTGGTGACGACATTTGGCATCCCCTACCGCACATTGCAAGCTTCAGCAACACCTCATTTTCATTTCTCGCTTTTCCCTTTCTTTCCCTTCTTGAGCTATTTGCGACCATGTCAGGCGCAAATAGGAAATATGAGTTGCGACACATTTTTAACCGCCATGCTGTGCACAGTTAGCGATTCACTATGGGAAAGCGGCAATCAATTGAAAAAGGAATGTCGATTCAGAATAAAAAAGGTGCATCATCCTAATGTGCATCGCTTTTTATCAGAGAGGCCCCAAACACACACGTTTTGGATAAGAAATTCGTCATTTTTATTTAAACTCACCTGAAACGTCCCACCAGAAACATCGACGACCGGCAAATAATTTAATTTGATAACCAGAGTATGGCTGACCTTTTGACGATATTTTTACCCCGTTTTCTTCTGCCAGTTTTTCTGTAGGGAGGTAGGTCGCAAATCGGAAAGGGTCGCTAATTAGGCACCTTACCCTAAATGACCTGCCAGTGCTACTCTTTGCATGTTTTAGTTGATTGGGATCATTTTGCCGCAAATCTGGACGAGTTCTATTTTCTCCCATAGACTTATAATGGAGAGGTCACACAGTTGACCTTACCTTAACCCGCGCCCCGTAGGGGGGGGGGGCGAAACGGCCCCCCCCTGTCCTTTTCGGTCAATATCTCCTAAACGGCTGGAGATATCGCCACCAAACTTTCAGGACCCCTCCGGGCATCGATTTTACACATTGTGACCAAAAATTTTCTAGAGGCTATGATAGGTTGGCCACAAATGACGTCAGAATGACGTCATGTTCTGTCATTTTCGACCGAAAAAAAGACCTTCGCGAGAAGACCTGTCAGGCCTACAGCTTTGAAGATACAGAAAAATGATCAAGACACAAAAGGTGTAGAATTGACAGGGCTACAAAACTGCTATCTCGGATTTTTGAAATTTTTGAGTTTTGACCCCCAAAAATCAAAAATGCATTTTTTGGGATATATAAGCCGAAAAATCCAAAAAGTTTTTTGATTTTCGAAAAAAAACCGGAATATATGTGATAGTACCTACCGTCTTCTATCTACATACCAAATTTCAGATCGATACCTCGTTTTTTGGCCAAGTTATAGCGAAAAAAACTGTTCAAAAATGATGACGTCAAATTTTCAAACTCAATTTTTGGCAATTCTAGACCTCGTAGAGCAAAACAAAGACCACCATTGGACTCCCCGTGACGAGCTGCATCGAATCGATACCCATTTTATGCAAAAATATCAACTTTGAAATTTGACCTAATTTGACCTGACCTTGACCTGACCTTCACCAAAATGTGACCTAGGCTGGCCCCAAAGGCTACCTAACCCACATAATCGCATTTGTCATGTAAAATAGACCATAAAACATGTATCACACGACACTTTCACAATGTGACCCCCGGTGACCTGACCTCGCTGTGACCTGACCTGGTATCAGTGACCTCAGATAGAAAAGCATGTGTTTGACGAACAATTTACCATCGATGGGTTTCAATAAATTACCAATTTACTCGATTTCACAACACATTTCTTGAAATGCCTGTGAACGGTGAAAATCTGACCTTTGACCTGACCTGTGACGTCATCGGTTTGACCTAGGTCAATGAAATTTGGTCACAAGGTAGTTCTCGGGTGGGGCTATCGAACGCCGTTTGAATTTTGAAAATCGGCCGGTAACTTTCCGAGATCTTAGGGGGGGGGCCGAAACGGCCCCCCCCCCCTACGGGTGGTAGGGTCCGCCGGTAGCCCTACGGGGCGCGGGTTAAGTCACAAATATAAAAAAAATATGAGACAATACACTTTGTACCTATATACAGTTTCAAAGTGATCGGTCAATAGGTGTATCTATATTGCTATATTGCCCTGTATTGCTAGGGCAGGTGTTTAATTTTTTTTCGGAGATTGGGTCCCTTGACTTGACCTGGTGACCTGACCTGAGGTGACCTGGGTCTGACATGTTGATACAATGTGTGGAAAGGATGTGTTAATAGCAGTGTCGAAAACAGCCGCGCTGTCGCCGCCTTTTTTATATATTTGCGGAAAACCTTACGGAGGGGTATCCAAACACCCCCCCCCCCCGCCCCCGGCCCCGTGCTGGCGACCATAACATTTGACTTAACCCTCGCTGTGTGCGGTGTTTTACAGCGTCTAACGTGTACGTCGGTTGGACCCCCTCCCCCCCTGCCGTTCGACCCCTGATCGAGCTAGAGCTCTTCGCGGAAAAAAAAACGAGCGTGTTGCCCGTGACGAGAGGAAGCCGATGATACCCAATTTTAAGGTCATAGGTCATTGGTTGACCTTCCAGGCCAGGTCAATGACCCAAAAGTCGCGAAAATCGGACCTGCTAGAACTTCGTAAAGTGAAGCTTTTATGTTTTTTTTTGGGGGGGGCTGATAACAAATTTCATGTTGGTTTTGATCAAAGATGACGTCTTCATGCATTTGGGCCTGGTCGGGTCAGGTCAGGTCAGGTCAACCAGTAGGCGTCCTACCGCCTATCCAGTGTCAACCACCACTGAAAGCCTCGTAACATGTTACTAAGGCACTAAAACTACTTCGTAAATGTTCAAACGGTCATTAAATTCGAAATCAGCTTCAAAAACTAGCCTGGAAACACGTGCAGTGTGCAATGGAGTGCAGAGTACAGTGACGCCCCCACCAGCGGTGGCGGCCCCGGTAGCGGTTGCGCTTTAGAATTTTTCGCTTCCGCAACTCGCAACTCCGCAACTTTTTTGGGCTCGGTAGCCGATCCGTAACTCCGCTACCAAGAGGGTAGTCCGCAAGTTGCGGAGTTGCGGAGTTGCGGACTTAAGTTGCGCAATGCCCAGCTCTGGTTATACCTATGCACCAGTTTATAGGCCTACGGACAATTTGCAGTTATTAGTCTGTGACTGTGTGATTTATAGGGTTAGGTCATTTCCGTCCAATGAAACATTTTCAGAGTCGGAAGGATGACGAGAATGAGGAGTACCTAGACATTGGTCTGGAAGACCAGCCTGGTGCACCGCCGGGGCTGAGCCCGTCTCGATGGACGCGAGCCACGGGCGCCGCGCAAACGGTCACCCGACCGCCAGTGAGCCTGCTCCTCATCCTGAGGAGCTTTTCACGTCGGATGAAGGTCGCCCGTTGCCAGTCCGGATCAGCGGGTTAATGGCTCGAAGGAGAAGGATTTGACTGTCTTGCTTGAGTGAAAAAGAAATGGATCGGTGGGCTAGGAGAATTGATTTTAGTCCTATAAGGTAGCGAATGTATAATCGCTTCGGTAGGCATCCTAAAACAAGCCGGTGTAAAAGTCAGACACTGGCGTGGGAATGTGATGGCTGGGCTCGCCGAGGACAATTCAGGCTTCGCTGTTGTATGCTGGTCAGTGACGGTCAGTGGATCTGAGAGATCCAGCGCGGATGGTACCGATCGCCACCCCTCTGAGACACGGATCTGGAGATCCCAGCGTGTCCAACCTAATTCGAGTGTATAACCCCTGACGTTTCGTGGTCCGCAGTCGCACTATCGTCGTCTCCTCGAGAGGTGCACAGGTCGCCATTACCGCGAAGCAGGTGCCGTGTCAGTGTCGAGGGGCACCGGATCACCACCCGCTCTCGTGGGCGTGGCCAACAGCACCAGCGGCTCCCTCCAGACGGTTTCAGCCGGGTCCATTCTCAGCGGGGATGATTGGGCAACGACTCCCGTGGACCAGTGGAGTTTCAGCGAGCTATCAGTCCCTGTCTGGAACTTGCATCGAGTGCTCCCCAAGTGCGGGTATTTGTTGAGGCATACCACGCTGCATCTTAGTTGGACACACTAATTAGTTTTCCCCTTACAAAAATAAAAATGGTTCCTACACCTTGCCTACGCCAATCAAGATGCGCGACCTTAATATCGTCACCTAAATGGATCACATGAGGTCAGGCCACGACCCCAACGGCACCTAAATGGTCGCCCCGACTATTCCGACCATTGCTAGTAGGTAGTTTCGTTCGTTCGAAAAGAGCTGGAGCAAACGGTTCGTTCGCACGTTTTGTTCGTTCTGAGACGGGAGACCCGATCGTTTGTTCGAAAAGTTCGATAAAGAACGTTCACAAGTTGTATCAAATTAATATCTCGGGTACATTTTGTTAATCTACGGACAGCAATACCCCTCCCGAGTCCCCCCGTAAAGTGTGGAACGGTAATGGAAGATTCCAAGTAGCTAAAAAAAGAACTATTAACTTCTCCATGATACCTACCGAGGGAAATAATTGAACACAAAGTCAAGCCTGTCGTCAGCTCGGTTCCCTCAGTAACATAGGCACACTTATGAAATGAACTTTATTGCAAAGTTCGTAACAGGCTGCATGAATATAAAACATGTACAAAATCACATTTTCTAGGCCGTATAAGACCGGTCGAGCCCCATACAGCGATCATGGGCGCCACCGGTACACACTGACGCGATACCAGGAGCATCCGCAGTCAGATAGGAGCGCGTTGGGCCCAACACGGCTCGGTCACGTCAGGCGGCTGTTTGAGCCGTCAGGTGACTGATGAGACCACGCCAGACCACTGGCGCCGGCCGAGGGGAGCACACCCGTCACCGGACGCCTATATCCGATGGGTGACCCGCTCGCGCATCTTGTTCTGCATTTCCTCCGACTGGAGCTGCTGCAGTGTCAGGAGTGAGATACCCAGCTGGTCCTGACGACTGAACGGCTGCGCCATCCGCCTCAACCACCGCTTGCTGATCTGGACGGCCTCCTCTGTGCTCAGGTTACACATGGAGTCCTTGAGGTGCTCCTGAATCCAGAGAGGCAGCTTGGTTCGCTTGTCAGAACGCTGGAACCGCTTGTCAGCGAACACCATGATGCCGTAGTCGGTTTTGCCTCGCATGGCTCGGCCCACGCACTGCGAGGCGTGCCGCACGGCGTCGAACGTCAGAAAGTCGTTCTCGCGGATCTGAAATGTGTCCCGCAGGTACTCGAGACGCGCTTTGAGAATGCGCGACTGGGTGTACATGTATGGGATGCCGAACATGAGCACACACCGGCCCAGGTGATGGTCGAAGTCGACTCCTTCGCTGACCTTCCCGCGCGCCACCGAGAGCAGTACGGCACCCCGACCATTTTCACAAGCCTGGATGTAGTTCAGGAGCGCCAAACTGGTCTCGGCCGCGTCCTGGGTCTCGATGAAGAGCAGCTTGTGCTTCTGCAGCTGGGTGATGATGCCCTGGTCGTACCAGCTGGAGACCACGCTCTCCATGTACATGTAGGAGGTGAAGAAACACACCACGCCGTCGGGTACGGCCGTAACCATGTCCACCAACAGGTTGCCATAGTTTCGGATCACGGCCGGATCCTCGCGAGACTCGAACTTGGACGAGATCGTCACTTGGTCGTTGCCCTTGGTGACAATCATGGGCAGGATGCACGGGCGCGCCAGGGTCATCGTGAAGCTGGTGATGATGACCGGATGAAAGTCCAGGATCTTAGGGTACATGTCCAGCGGCGACAGCGTGCCAGACGTGATCACCACCGACTGGTACCGCTCAAACACTGGCTTGATGGCCAGCGACGAGTCCAGACACCTGAAGTACAGGATCGGGTTGTAGACGTTGGGCGTCTTGTCGTCGGAAGGCTCGACGATGATGGTAAAGCCCTTGGTGTATGTGCTGACCAGCGTGGCGAAGTGGGAGACGAGCACGAGAGGAGACAGGTCGGCCATGTCAGTGAGCTCCAGCGTGCGGATCATGGACGTCAGACGCTCTGCACAGAACCTGAGTGGTTTGCGATCAACACAGATTTTGTTGAAGATGTCTTTGAGAAAGCCGGCAGGCGACTCCTGCACCACATGCTGCACGCGCAGCCGCATCTTCAGATACTCAACGAGCCGCTTCATAAAGTTGAGGAAATGCTCCGCCGTGCGAATGTTTCCCGGAACGGCCTCTTGCAGGATCTGGTCGGGCAGGACGGGGTTCGCCAGAAGTTGGTTGTTTTCCCTCTTCATCTGAGCGTCCCTGAGGCCGTCGACCATGCGCTGGTACTCGTCCTGTAGCCGGGCGGCGTCCGTCTCCTTCAGATTGGCTATCCGCTTCTCCATGGCGCTGATGTTGTTGGAGCATCTCTCCAACATACGTTTGTTGATGTGTACACTCATGCTGTCGATGCACACGTTATCGATGTTGTGCGCCTCGTCGAACACGACTACGCTGGACTGGACAATCTCCTTGGAGACCACCTCGGCGATCTTCGGGTCCAGCAGGTAGTGGTAGCTGTACACGATGATGTTGGCTTGCTGAATGGCGCGACGCGCCACAAAGTATGGGCACCAACCGCGCTCGCGACCGTAGTGTTTGAGATCGTCCAGGCTGTAGATGCCGGCCTGCAGCGTGGCGTCGCGGCCACTCTCCTCCAGCTGCTCGAAGAACTGACAGGTGGGGACCGGATCGGCGCCGTCACCGTCTCCAGCGGCCGTGTCAGCCCGAGCGGCGCGCGCGCGCACATAGCCAGCCGTGAGGCCATAGCAGCGCGAGTCCACCACCTTCCCCTCGCGCTCCTGGCTGACTTCCGGGTGAATGCACAGGTTTTTCCTCGAGCTGACTGCCAGTCCAACCAGTTTGGTTTTCTGCCCGGTCTGCTTTTCGATGAAGCGGTTCAGCTTTGCCAGCTCCTCCAGCACCTTCTCGATCTCAGGTACTGTGCGCGAACAGTACACCAGCTTGGTGATTTCTAGTGGCCTCTCCAGCATGTAGGACACGATCAGAGAGAGCAGCGAGATGGTCTTCCCCGTGCCAGAGGGCATCTCCAGCACCAGGTGGCCCTTTGCATCCAATCCTTTTTTCAGTTCAAGCATGTATGAAAACTGTTCTGGATAAATGTAATCATATGGAAAGTAAACAAGGAGGCCATCCACATTTAGCCTCATGGTGAAAAACTGCAGTCTTCCAGATTACGGATACATCAGTCTGAAAACATAAAACACGTCTAAAATGTCGCACACACTGACACAGTCTGAAAAATCAAAACACATAATAAATGTAATATACTAGAAGTTATGTTGATTTTATCAGAGGCCATATTGATCAACCATATCAATATAATCATTTCTCATGCTCCTGTGTCATATCCAGGGTCTAAATGTCTGGTTTTATTTGTGGAATCTCTCTGATCCAATAGCCTTGCGTGTATACCTTGACCTGAAACATTGATTTCAGACCTTCACCAGTCAAATTCAAACAAAAAATTATGTAGTCCGAAACTGCTTCTCGATGAAAAAAATGAAAACTTTTACGAAAATAGGTACTGAAATCAATGCTTATGTTCGATATAGTGACAGATTATACGCTTAGGAATTACGATATCCACACCGTATTATTTATACATACGCGCGGACGCCCTTATACCCTTTACCATACGCGCACTGATTGAGCATGCGGTTTCTGATGTTTGCGCCGCAAACGTATCAGAAGCGGCAGATTTACAACTTGATTTTTCAACAAAAATACAGTAAAGTTGTCTACAAAAATATGACATAAAATAAAGCCCCTTCTAGACCAAAACAAAATGCTACCTGACTATATCCTAACAGATGACCTTTTATATTTGAACCAAGACAAATTTTCAATGAAAATATGCCTACTCTCACTTCACAACCGACTTATAAGCAGCCTGACTGCCTACGCAACAACTGTCTAACATCTGCTGTGTTTTAGTGTTGTTTTAATTCCTCTTTTATGATACGACACTCGCGCATTGAGAAAATATACACGCGCTAAAGTCGTGGGAATATTGTTTTGAAGGTTCCACTTTTTATATTTACACTGATTATTTTTTGGGTCTTGCTGGATGATTGCGGTATACTACGGGGGTATCGGTATTCGGTAACCCTGGCGTCACCGGTAGCGTTTTCGTTGAAAGTGACACTTTGTTAACGAAATAAAATAGAGCAGCTTCTAGTCACAACTTACAACTAACGTAATACGGTAAACATAATGTTAATGACTCATGATTTTCTTTTCATGCCTTCCGGCCTTAGGGCCTGTTCCAGCGCCTCCAGAAACCTCCAGAAAGCTCCAGAAAGCTCTAGAATCCTCCAGAGAGCGTTCCAGCGCCTCCAGAACAGTTGGTGACATACCAGGGAAATAAGCTAAAATTAGAGCGCTCTATTTATTGCTCCTGCCCCATGTTGAAGAGATACCCCTAAAAGCGTGATCTTTTATCGGCCCTTACGCAGCAAGGCAGTAATTCTCAGACCGGTGGATGGTATCAATAGAAAGAGAATGCGTCAAAGATTAACATGAATTAATTAAAATAACATTAAAATGTTAATTAAGCGTGGAAATTAGTCTCAAACATAAGCTAATTGTTGCTCCTACCTCGGCGACGGCGCTCCCCGCAGTCAGCGGAGAAGCTAAAATAAAAGCCACCATCCTCCTCCGTAAGTCAATTTTAGAGCGGCCGAGTGGGCCGATGCGGGGCCACCAAACTGAGATGAGACGTGGCTAGCAATTGCGAACTGCCATAGAAATCAATAGTACAATACCTATGGGATGATTACTCTGAAGCTGGAGTGAAAGCATGAGTAGATTGCAAGAAACGAAATGCATAGATTGGTTGAATTATGTACAATAGGCACAGCTCAGATGAAGCCATTTCTTTGATGTTGACATTTGACATAACCCTTCCTCTCCTCACCTACGACCTAAGTACGTTGGCAGTTACCGGCATAGTTTTTTTAGCACGAGTGTAATTCGCCATCGGACCGCAATGCATGTTGTTAGGCTGCTGCAATTACAACGAACATACGAATACTGCCTTCATTTGTAGACGTTTGTTTTTTAGGCGGTCTTTGACGTACAAGGGGGCATACCTGTCGACAACTTGAGTTTCTCCGAATTTCAAAAACTCCCAGAATTCCAATTCCTTATGCACTGTTGTAGGTACAGCTATGTTCACAAGTTTTCGTTTCCTCCTGCTCTAAAAAGGATGATATTTGTCGATTTCGTGCGTCGCTGATAGAAGGGTGCGTTTAATAATTAGGCCCAACGCTTTCTGCATCCGCGTGAACCTTGAAAAGGGAACAACAGTTTCCATTTATTACACTATGGGACAAGTGACAAAATGACCAATGCAACACGCATGAAACGGAGCTCATATTCCTAAAAATGTCTACAATCACTTCTTTTCTGACACTATTAGCAAATACCATCTCAAGTTAGGTGGTTGACAGACAGTCAATGGAGATCTGGGGAGACTGAGTGATGCCAATTCACCACTTAACTGATAATGAGGGCCGAGGGAAGAGAAACATGCAACATGCCCAACTGACAACTTGACAAGTGACAAAACACTACCACTATTGCGCAGTGCACAACAAATTACAGCAGCCAGCCCAAAATGCTTTTGGTGGCTAATTGCAAAACAAGTCACTAATAAATGTCTTAGTTGCAGCTGAACAAGCTGCACAATGATCACACTGTTCACACATTGAGTGAGATGCCACAGGTGGTTTGAATCACACTTTGGTACAACTGCAAATCTGAAGTGTTGTCATGAGGTTCATGCCTCCATGATCACAGCACTTTGGTTGTGGTTGGCATAACACTTGTAGTCTGCAGAGTTCCACATGAACTGCAGACACCTCATCTGGTGGTCTTCATGTTGCTCAACTTCTTCAAGAGGCAAATGTCGACCACCCAGCGGAAGCATGGTCCTGCAGAAAAGAAAGGTAATGCATAAGGTACAAACATTATCTGCTGAAACAGCCCCTTCTGTTTGCTGTTATTAAACTTTTAACATAACATAACAACATGTATTCCATGTATATTACATTTGTTGAAGTAAAATATTTCAAAACCAGAAAATGAAATTATATTGTGGCATAATTCACATGCTCAGCTATCAGTATCAAATAATAAATTAAGTTAAAATTTGGCATATTCTATATAACACATTCATAGAATATTCTACTTCACGTCACAAGGACTCACAATCTTTCTGTTGGGTGTTTGATTGACGCATTAACTAGGTTTGTCTTAGGTTTTATTATTGCAAAAAATTCATATTGCATTATTGTATCAAAATACTGCCAGCAATAACAAAACAAGAACATGAAATGTCAATGAGCAAGTCGCCATTCCTAAAAATGGATTACTTTGAAAAGAATTTGTTTCTTTTAAGGAAAAGGAGAAATGATTATCAGGTACTTATCAGAAAACCACTCAACCAGCAAGTGGCTGGGTGGTTTCACAGCAAACATCAAGCCAAAACATATGCTTACATTTATCTAACAATTGAGCCATTTGACTACACAAGGATATGTGAGCAAAATAAGAATCAAATTATCCAATGTTGACTTCCTTGCAAAGTTTATGCCTTATTTTATGAAAATGTGTCGCTAGAATATGATACTTATCATCGAATATTATTTAATTTACGATTTATTTCGATCGGAACGCACATGGGGTCCCGCGCCATTTTCGTCGACGATGATTTGATCGTGTTTCATGAAGAGATAAGGGGTTTCAATGGTCTTTCAAAGCAATAATTTGATGCAAAAATTTGTAGGAAATAATATAAAGCTGGTTCAAATGGACATCAACCATTTAAAACACCGAAAATACTCACAACTCCGTCCCGACGACCACGCAGCACCGCGCACGCCACACTACTGGCACAATGCCAAAACTGCTGTCACAGCAGAAATATTTTTTTTTCTCGATTGCAATTGTGGAATTATTTATTAAACAGAAGATGCTCTTTCCGAAAAACCGACTGATTTCATACACAGATGCATGGAAAATAAAAAAATCCCAGTAAGTTTATTTGTATTGTTTTGTCGATTTTGACATGCTCCTAGTTTGCAGCCATATTTCGATATGTTCTACAGAGAGTTCAGAATTATTTCAGGACCAATCTTTTCCTCGTTCATTTTCCCGTCGATCATGAAATTTTTAGAGCGGAACAATTAGTTTCCAGGCGGTCCGAGCGGTTTTCGTGAGATGGGTGCAAAAATCGGCGTCATTTTTAGAGCCTCGACACCAGCTCAACACAGGACCCTATGGGAGACGGTGAAGTAGCGGAAGCAATAAATAGAGCGCTCTAATTTTAGCTTATTTCCCTGGTGTGTCACCGACTGAGAAAGCTCCAGAAAGCTCTCGCCAAAGCTCCAGAAACCTCCAGTAGCCTCCAGAGAGTTGAGAGGTCCAAATTTCTCTGGAGGCTCTGGTCTACAATTATGGCGCACATGTGACAATCACGAATGTAAACAAAGGACTTTTGACTGATTATTTTACAACTTAAATGTAAAGAAAATTACATTGCTATGATTTTGTAAATCTTTCATAATAAAATTGAAAACAAATTTTGCGTTTTAAGAGAGGACAATGGCCATTCTTTTGGTATCTGTGATGCCAATCTCCAGAAATCTCCAGATTGCGTTCCAGCGCCTCCAGTGAAACCTCTGGTAGAGCCTCCAGTCAAGAATTTCTACTGGAGGCGCTGGAACAGGCCCTTAGACTGTCGGCCAGATCACCAATTTGTACGCAGCAGCAGAATTGCGTCAACAGCATTCTGCTTGAGCCGGGCTGCTGTCTCATCGCTGAGAAGAGCCCCTTGACGCTGACTTGGGTCACCAGCAGCGCAAGGAGTACAAGGCTGCATGGCAGCAGGGTAGGATGGTATGGTGTCCCATACATCTCGGTCATTCAGTCGACCCAGGCCAGACTGGAAAAAATACATGTTATGCCAAATATGTCCGGCGTAGTGGCGGGATTGCGCTAAAAATTTCAGCGCACGTCCGGCGTCCGGTGCATGCGCCAAATTCAGCGCATGGCGGCGGACGAATTTTTCGGCGCAGGGCGGTCGCATATTTTTTTTTTGGCGAAATACGATCACCGAATTTATGCGGTACGCTGGTCAATCTAGCAGCAGATTCGCCCCGCGGGCGGCTCTGGAGAGGTTTCGGGACGAGACGTCCCCGCCCCGGTCGTCGTGTGCTCGAACTGGTGAGCCGCTCGAACTCAGCGGAGAAGCGGCCGCCCAGGTGAGGCCTCAACCCTCGGTGTGGAGATAGGTAAGAAATACCTTGTTGAACATTGCCAAGCGTCGTTAAGCAATACCGCAGTGGGTTCCTGCCCACTGCGGTATGGAGGGGAATGAGAGCGCGGACGACCTGGCCTCAAACGCCCACTCGCTGACCAGGGCGGTTCACTGTGCGGCCTCGCATCGCACTGTGCGGCGCAGAGCGCGACAACTGCTCAGAATCACTATTCAAGCCACTCCTCGTGAGCACGCCGCCGCTCCCTATCCCCGGAGAGGACCGAGAGGATGCCGTTTCGGTGCATCAGATGAGGGCGGGCCACTGGGGCCGCTCGCTCCAATACGGCACCGAATCGGCTGTCTCCACTCCGCGGCGTGCCAGCAGTGCTCAGACAAGCGGTGCCCCGCGGCGCTCTGCGCCGTGTGCCGAGAAGAGGGTGATGTGCCGGAGCACATGCTGTTCCGCTGCCCGGCCCTCGCTGACTCCCGCCAGCCTCGAACACACTGCTCCGCCGATATTAACATCGGCACAAATTTGTGGCCCCGGAACTCACGGCTCCAGCTTTGTTTTACGGCATGAAGCTAGAGTGCGCTAAGACTATTGAGGCATTGGGTTTCCATGGAAAAAAAAAATCATTCGGACGCTCAAACATGGGAGAGCGTACAAGGCCCTCGAACACTGTCTGGTTCATATGGCCTTGATCGGTAGATGTGCACATGTGCTTTAAAGGGCTTAATTTTCGCACAAATGGCCACCTAACTTTTGGCGCAAATCACAAAAATTTCAGCGTAAAATTGCCTGCGCCGAATTCCGGCGTCCGGTCTCACGGGCGTCCGGCGTAGTGTATGGATGTTTTCCAGTCTGGGACCCAGGTTCTTGAGATCGTTGACAACGTCCTGGGGGGGAGGGGGATGGGGCGCGTTGACCGTTTGCCCACCTGCCGGCTCTTCTCCAGCCGGTCGAGTTCCTTCTCAAAGAGGTCCCTTTCCTCTTCCTCCTTTGGATCCGAGCTGGAGCTCTGCGTAAGCGACAGCATAAGATCGGACTCATTGATTTGGTTCCGATGAATGCGCTCCATCAGCGTGATGAACGCTGCCTCAGCCCGGTTCAGTTAACCAGAATCCGTGTCCCGTGATATCACTTTTCAGTGAAAAGTGATATCGTGGATTCTAGTTAACTTTCCGGAGTCGGAGTCGGGGCAGCTTGACCGACTACGACTCTGACTTCGACTCCGACTCCTGGCTGCTTGCCACGACTCCGGGCGACTTCGACTCCGAAGTCCGAAACCCTGACAAGCATCTCGCCAGCGCCTCCAGCGGGCATCCGCTGCCACCAGTCATGTCGCTGCGAGTGTGTCTCGCCGATTACGCTTTCGGCCAAGTTCAAGTATCGAATGACCGATAACGTAGGTCTCCAGCTGTCATCTCTTTAGCTGCCAATTCTTTGATTCGATTATCGTAAAATAAAGCCGAAACAGCTTGTGATAATGCATCGTTCGTATTCTATATATTCGTAAGCAAACATCCTTCCGAACTCGATTCGTGTCAAGATCCCTCACATCTCCCTCCCCACATTGACCCAGAAAATAATGTACTTTTTCCACATCTCGTGCCCACGCATCGGCAAATACATTATGCATGCTTCCATTACATCCTTTCACCATCCATACCATCTTTTTCTAGTATTTACCGCCTATCTATTTCTTGTTTTTGTTTGCAGAGATGTTGCTGTTGTTTCTGACTGTGCTGCTTGTGAGTGAGTTTGGCGCTGGGCTGCGCCGTCATGGCCACCACGGCCTCCTGCTGCCCCCGCCGAACGTGCACAACTATCCTGTGCCTCCGGACCAGTGGTTCACGCAGAAGCTGGACCACTCGCAGCCGAGTGACTTGCGCACCTGGCAGCAGGTCAGTCTCCAGGGTGGATGGTCCGACGGTTTCAAAGTCGTGATCAATCATGAATAGTAGAGTTTACAACTTAATCCTCGCTTACAATTTACAACCTAATTCTAAACTCAATAAAAAAGGCGGCATCAATTTAGTATACCCTGAGATGTATCAAGGAACGTTTTCTATTGCAGTTGCGCCTTAACCGTAACTTTCATACAACCAACGTGTAATCCCCTCGCCCTTTTCCGCAGCGTTACTTCACCAACGACACGTTCTACCGTCCTGGCGGTCCCGTGTTTCTGATGATCGGCGGCGAGGGTACAGCTAGCCCAGTCTGGATGGTCACCGGCTCCTGGATCGAGTACGCCGAGGAGCATGGCGCTCTGTGCTTCCAGCTCGAGCACCGGTTCTACGGCAAGAGCCACCCCACTGAGTGAGTACACGTTGGGTTGGGTGGCTATGGAAGGTGCTGGGGTCGTAGAGAGGCTCGGGTGAATAGGTAGACGTCCTTGAGAGGGCGAGTTGCATTGTAGGTGCACAAGCATTGAGAAACGGCATTTTTGTTAATTTGTTTTTAGATGAGATGTCACCTTGTGTTTGCTCAAGTAGGTTTCATGCATGTAATGGGTGTTTTTCATTGTCTTGATCTGGAGGCGACTGCTTTTTCCCTGTTCGTGGGCTGAAGTAACCAGTGTACATATGGGCGCACCCTTAAGCCCCAATAAACAAACAAACCAGTGCACATAAAAGAACTAAAACGTCGTTTTACTCTACGTTGCACAGCGTAATAAGTTCTCTGAGAGGTAATTCGATGACTTGAATCTCATTGACAGCTCGTCTATTGAACCGATTATGAGTGGTGTTATGATCATTAGCTTCTCACTCTCCCTCCTTGATGTGTCCTTTCGCTCTCTTCATCCCAGGGACATGAGTGTGAAGAACCTGCGCTACCTGAGCTCGGAGCAGGCGCTGGCCGATCTGGCCACATTCTCCGCTGCCATGGAGGAGAAGCACGCGCTGCCCGAGGGCACCAAATGGGTGGCGTTCGGCGGCTCGTACCCGGGCAGTCTGGCCGCCTGGTACCGACTCAAGTACCCGCACATGGTACACGCGGCAGTGTCCAGCAGCGCGCCGCTGGTCGCCAAAACAAACTTCTATGGTGAGTGACGAACGAATTGAAACTAAAACGAGTTTATGGTCATTTTGACAACGACGACTTGCAGAGGACTGCAGTTGAAGCTGAGGCGTGTCATTTATGGTCGTTGAAGATTCTATGTGCAAATTCTGAGATGCTATCTTGCATTTTATAGAAATGCCAGAAATATAGAAACTTGAAAATAAACCGAAAAAGATTGTCTACCGCAAAATCCGGGCAAACCTATCCAATAACGTCTCACCCCTCCGCAGTACGAGTTCCTGAAGGGAGGAGGGGGGGGGGGGGAGGGAGTTTTGTACATCTGTCCATTCACCTGACCATCGCACCGTTTCTCTTCTGTCCGGCAGAGTTTCTGGAGGTGGTCTCGGACGCGGTGAAGGCCGAGTCGGGCGATACTTGCTACAGCAACATCGCCGCCGCGTTCACCGAACTCGAGAAACAGCTGGCCGACAAGAAGCGGTGGCGCCCGCTCGGAAAACTGTTCCGGTGAGGTGGACCACAGGCTGTCTGTCCGGTAGTCTGGGAGCTGAGGTCGGTGTAGCTGAGACAGTCCTGACGGCGCTGGAATTAGATCATTATTCTGCTTATTTTAGATGCTATCGGGATTGGGGGCTATCTTTTGCACCGTCGAATGGTAATTTAATTAAAAAAAAAAAAAAAATAAGAAGAACAGTGTGTAACTTTGGCAGCTCAGGTTGTTTGTGTCGTCGATGTGGTGTGTGCATTATTGGACCATTTGCCCGTTTCGCCTTGTTAAAATGCATCATGCAGCTCTTTCTCGCTTATGCTATGGCAAAACTATCACGTGCACGTGTGCCTGTGCCCTGTGCGATTCAGATTGCACCGGTCGGCAGTTGTGCTTCTTACTCAGCTGACCTTCCCTTACCCACTTTAAACCAGCCGCCACTGTGACCGTACCGCTCGGGTTTCGCTAGCCTAACCTTCCTACTGATCCTCTTTTTCACAATAAACCGCCCGCCCGAGTGACGCCCCTAACCATTCTACCCCTCCCGGCAGTCTGTGCGATCCGTACGCGGCCTCGGATCTGAACACCTCCAGCCTGGTGTCGAGTCTGGCCGACCTGTTCGAGGGCACCGTCCAGTACAACCGGGATAACCGGGAGTTCGAGGGAGCCAAGGACGCCAACATCACCGTCAGCACCCTCTGCCACGTCAGTTAACAACGCGCACATCACCCAGCGGACTTTATTAATTAGAAATTTAAATAACGCTACCACAGATAACAGTAGTACTACTGTTATCTGTGACGCTACTAATCTACTTCCGGATAGTACTAACACTGATATGCAGCTTTATTTTCGGCTCCCTGTTCAAGACAAGACATCACAATGACTTACGAAATGAAAACAATATTTTTCACCAATGCTCCATTTATTGTTCATGGTATGGTACCATCAACACATAGCTCAACATGAGTCTTAACCATTGGTTTGTTTCCATTCGTACTGCAGCTGGTGCACAGCTCATATTTCCCAGGATATCGTCGTACTACTGATATTCGACTTTCATGCGCCGTCACCGAGCCCGTCCCTGTAAACTAGCGACTCTCCTGACCTGTACCGGTCTCGCCTCCCTCAGCTAATGTCGGACGGAGCCGGCTCACCGCTGGACCGTCTGGCTGCCGTCAATGCAGCGCTGATGGCAGTTCGCGGCGACAAGTGTCTGGACTATACGTATAAGTCGGAGATGGACAAAATGAGGCAGGAGAGCTTCGACAGTCCGGACAACACTGGCAGTGAGTCGGGATTGTGTAGGGCAATAGTTACTGAGGTCTGAATGGAGAGGGTAATTATACTGTCAGTCAGAGGGAGGGGTGGAGAATGGGCTAACACGGCTAAAATAATTCATGTAATACGTATTGCGTTGATAAGATACTCTTAAGTGGAAAACGGACAAGATGTGAGTGAGATAAGACGAGGGACAGGTGACAAGAGGAGTCTGGATAGTGGTTCAACCTATTTATTTCACGGTATTGCATAGCTACTATCCGGACTTACGCTTTCTTATAAATCGTGTTCGATAGTAATGCGCATATAGCCGTCTGTTTCCACCCTGTGATCACCGAGTCAGTGTGCGACTCCGTCCGGTCCTTTTCAGTGCGTCAGTGGATCTACCAGACGTGTAACGAGTTCGGATGGTACCAGACATCTGACGCCGAGGGCCAGCCATTCGGGCACCGCTTTCCGCTGACCTTCTCTGTGCAGCAGTGCATGGACGCATATGGAACCAAGTGAGTGGCGGGGGCCAAGCGGCCGATCCGGGTGTGGAGCCGTTCGGCGGCCAGCGTAATAGCGGTGGGTCCGGAGCTGGGACTGATGGGCTCGCTTTGGCCGGATTCGATAGTGTTAACTTGCATAATGTGTTGTGGTAGTTCACCTCGTAGCTCTTTCGGCTCTTTTGCGACTTTGTTTGCTTTTTCGGTGGACACTGTATTTTAAATCGTGTAAATATTGCGAAGCTCAAAATAAGTGTCGGGTCCAAGTTTTCATCGTTCGTTGTCACTTATGCTCGGAATATCATGTGGCGTATATTCCGTTCGATTTGAGTCAGTATGTCTATACCAATCTTATTCTCCTCGGCCGTCGCAGGTTCAACCAGTCTTTCATCGACGCGGCTGTGGCCGCCACCAACGTGCGGTACGGCGGGCGGGGCATCCGCGTGAGGCGCGTGGTCTTCATCAACGGCAGCATCGACCCGTGGCACGCCATGGGTCTGACGGCCACCCGCAGCCGGCACGCGCCGGTCATCTACGTCAACGGTCAGTCAGAGCTCAGACTGGTTTCTAGTGTAGCCACTCTATTCAAAGTATACCGAGACGCGAGACTAGTATTTATCGGACAGTGCAGACTGTTGCAGACATCTGAAGAAAGAAGAGAAAGAAGGTGCACGTCAGGATATGTTTGTCATTAATTCGAATGCCTCACCAGACAGTCACCAGTCTATTATGCGTCACTAATACTTAATAGGCAATAGCCACTGAGCGTATCTGGCTGCTGCACTGCCATACATTGCTATTTCGCTTTCTACCGCTCAGCCCGCTTTCTATCACTCACTCCACCCCTTCCTCTGCACAGGAACGGCCCACTGCGCCAACATGTACCCCTCGCGGGACGAGGACCTGCCAGAGCTGAAGGCAGCCCGCCGCCGCATCGGCCGCCTCATCGCCAGGTGGCTGCAGGAGGACGACCAGTGACGTCAGCACCGACCAGTGACGTCATCGGGACGGCACCTCCAGACGGCGTCCGTAACATCAGCTGGCGCGGATGTAAGGTGTGCGGTCGGGCGTTTATTACTGGGCTGTTTAAACATGCTTATTTTCTACCATACATTTTACAGTATAGGCTTATGATAACTTGTATTCACTGAGGTCATTTACTGCTACATCGCATGGAAAGCTGCACCATAATCAGGCATTTCCTGATTGATGTTACGTGTTGATTACATTTCACACTTGTCTGGAAAGTGCGCGAAATTTTGGCTGTGCTTGAAACTCAATGTCCATGAACCTTTGTACTTATATTATATCGTGTATAATTGCTTCACACCGCAATCGTGCCTTTAAGTCCATAGTTGTTGGAGTTAAAACCAGGGATGCGGAGCCGTGGAAATTTCAGACGGCTCCGGCTCCGCACCCCTGGTCTTTGTCTTTTGTATAGGCGAACTTAATTTTAATGCGGATTTCATGGCTGCGATATGAAGTGATGAGATTACATGGGGCCATCAGAATATTCTGTAATACTCCTTCATAAATGACACCACATCATAAATCACTCTCACATAATGTGTTGTCTCGTTCGATGCAAACTTTTGAAGGGAAAAAGCGCCCACCTACCGATGGGCTCCAGCCTTCACTCGAAACAGTCGTGTGTCGATAGACCAGGTTTCTGACGAGGGACTGCTGGGCTGCGCACTCCTTGCCCACTGTTATTGTTTGTATACTCGTTGGAATGCCATGATAAGGCACTGAGTTAACTGGTGCCGACTGTGCCAAGTTTACACGTCTACCGTATCGCCTCATGTATTCCAGGGCACTAAAGATTATTCAATTTGTGATAATCGCTGTGTTGCATGCTGGTTTCTAGCTACATTGGGTCATATTCATATTATGACCCGGTCTGTCAGGGCATTTTAGGAATACATACGTCCGCTTAGTTTATGTTTGTTTACTATGTGCATCGATTTTCGTCTGCGTCATGTGATCAGTCGATAATGTGCTGCTCCATGACAAGTAAAGATGTCACTTGCCAGTTAACAACAATTTTCAAGCACATGCTACAGGTCGAGAGTTACCTTACTTTACCTTACCTTACCTTACCAATACAGAATTTTGAGGCCTATAAGGCCTGTAGGGATCTGATCTCATCGAGCTCCTTACTAGAGACACTAGACAGTCATGAATCTTGGACTGGAATGTCAAAGGATGCATCACCCCAGTGAGAGTCGAGACGGGCTTTGAAGATATTGACAGACGTAGAGAGGACCACAGAGGCAGGAAGCGCATTCCAGTCGCTGATGGCGCGGACCGATAGAGTGTGTCTCCTGGAGTTGCAAGAATGACTTGGAAAACTAGTAAATCTTATAAGTATAACTAATTAGATTCTAGCGTAGCTGAATCAATCAGAGACGGTGCACTTTACGCGGATACCCACGGTATAATGGAGAACTCTGATACCAATACGGTGTTTGAGACGTCTCCTCAGGGCCATATAACGCTCTCGGTAACATCTGTGCGCGGGTGCAGCCGCGTAAAACATTTCTCACTGTGCGAGTATCACGTAACGGTATCTTATCTTGTGATAAAACTTGCATTTTATTTTTTTCATGGTTGATGGTAATAATTTCGAAGAGTTTTGAGTTTTGATCTAATGAACTTGAATAGTCTGAGCAAGGCCGTATCAAGGCCATCTATAGAAGAGTCTGCAAGGGCCGTAGGCCGCCGTCCACTGGTTAGGCGCGCACATTTACGCGCTGAATTTAACATTGGAGTCTATGGGTTGCGCGCCGAATGCAGTTTCAGCGCCTAAAGCACGATGAAGCGTTGTCAGCTGATTATTCATCGGCTGGTCGGCGCTGAATTACTCGCGTATTCGACGCTCACGAGTTGAAATATTCCAACTTTTCAGCGCGTCCTTGACGCGCATACGCCGCGGCGTTTTTATCATCAATCGGGTGTTTTGTTGATATTTAAAACATTTGAAAAGCATTTTTGAGATGAGGTTAGTGTTGCTAATATTTTGAGTGTGGCAGTGTGTGTGTTCTGTGTTTCATCATCTTCCTACATCTCCAGAATAGCATTAAATGAGCTGGTAAGGTAGGTCAGGTGCAATGAAATCCAATCTTCCTCTTTTCCTAAGCATAAATATGCATTAATTACAAATAAAACTTTGCCATATATTAGATGAGTTTCGTGATAATAGTTTTTCTTCCTTGAAAATATATGTTTATAAGGCATTTCAAGCCTGATATGTTTAATATGTTTGGTTTTGTGGATGCTTGACCTACCTACTTTTTCTAAAGTGAGATCAAGATATTTTGAATGCTGCATATATGTAGCTAGCATTTTCCATCTCCTTTTGAAGTTTGTTTCATATAAGGGTACTGGTGCAGGGGGAAGCGGGAGTCTAGATCCTTAAGAAACTTTGTTTCCGCAACGCAGCAACTCAAACTGCTGCACATGCTACAAAATGACCATTTTTTGCTACACGATTAAATGTAAGCCATGCAAATCTGTGCATTTTTGGTTGAAATGAACCCTCAGTCCCAAAACCATAGCAAAGTTTTTTTTTAGGGACAGGTGTTTTCCATAATTTTGGTTAGGATGTAGCTTGGTTTCAGGGTTGTAGTTTTTTTTTTGGTAATAGTAAAGCAGATGTTACACTTGTTTTTTGCAACCAAGGAGTGTCGCTCTAGGTTAGGTTGTAGATCGTAGGTAAGGTTAGGTCAGGTTTGGTTAGGTTTGATTTGGTTTGATAAGGAAGCATCTCTGGGTACGGCGCCTCTCCTTGGTTGCAAAATGAAAAAAAACAAGTGTGATGCCTGCTTTACGACTGCCGTTTTTTATATTTGTGCCTGGTGTACCTTCATTGTCCTGTTTTGTGCCAGACTGAAAAAAATCCATACACTGTGCCGAATGTCTCGGGCTTTCATGAGCCGATATTGTGTGGCTTTGGATGAACATTTGGATGAACACCCATCATCGACATGGTTTATGATTCAAAAGCGTAGGGAGTGAAGTTAGCCAAGGTTACCTAGGTCTTGTGTCTTGTGCCAAAATTTCTTTGTCCATCCGTATGGCAGAATTTTTGGGCGCACAGAGTTACGCTGGATACTGCACCGAAATTTCAGCTCAATCCGCCCGTTACGCCAGACATGTCGATGATACCATGAATTTTTTCAGTCTGAGTTCAGTGTCTGCCTTGTGCCTTCTGTGTCCTGCCCTCAGCCCTGTATCCTGCTATGTACCATAATACTCCCGAGCTTTCTGCAATCGGTCTGTTTGATGTTCCCTGATTCAGGCAGTGTATCGCGGATGTACAGGGGCCTCTGTTAGCAATGTGACATGATCAATCCCATTTTTCAGCTCTACAAGTGACACCACCTTAGTTGAAGCCGTGAGACGTCATGACGTGCTTTGGCGTCCTCAGGACAGCAACTACTTTAACAGAAATAAGAAGAAGCTAGCATGGGAGGAGGTGGCAAAGACCACTGGGAGATCAGGTAAAACTTACGCATCATATTTTGCTTGTACGTGTTGTAAATGGTGCCAACAGCCACAGGCTCTGCCACGTTTTTAGAATTGGGTTCTAAGCTTTAAAATGCGAACCCTTACACATCCGTGGTGCTTGTATAATTGTGATGTCTCTCAGGTAACAAACACATGTCGCTTGACAAAATAAATTTTCAAGGCTCTCACCAATTTTATTCCCTGCTTTTCAGTTCAGGATGCAAAATCGAAATGGAAAAGTCTGCGTGACTACCACCTACGCAAACGCAGGCAATTGCCAAGTGGCTCTGGCTGCCCGCCACCAGAGAACTCCTCCTGGCAAAAGGAAATGTCATTTTTGGATGATGCCATCAAGCCTAAACCGTAAGTTAACTGCAGTAGGATGTATGTCCTGGATTTTAGTGCACGTCCTGGATCTTTGCATTAGGACATAGAGATGAAAAGTCTTTTTTCAAAAATGTTGTATTCCAGTAGCACAGATCTTGCACATTGCCCAGTAGTGCTCCATTACTGGAGCAATAAGCATAAGCAATAAGCTTCACTGTCGTATTAATTAGTTGCTGTGCTGACTTCTGAGTTTTTTTTTACCCCTCCCAGTCCATATCACTTTTCCATTAGAAAACCTGTTGTATTCCTGTCATGTATCAAATGCTACGTTCCTTCCTTTCCTATGCAGGGTAACGACAAACTTGACGCAGCCTGGAACAGGATCGCAATCCTTATTCTACTACACAAACCAATACTCCAATGAGGTGTGTAAAGTGATTTCTGGGTCACTCTAAATGATGATCCATATCCGATCTTGGGCGTTTCATGACTCCTTTCAATGCAGTGATTTCGTTGGAAATTAATAAAGCAATGCCGTGACATGCAACAGGCCTGTTCTAGCTGTTTACATTGATTGTTTTTTTCTTGTTTGTTTGTTCATTTGTTTTTAACGAACAGTGTTGCCAAGTTTCATTTAAAACCTTTTGGTCATCATGCACCTTAACAATCGCCTCCTCAGGCCCATTGTTATTCCCAGACTCCGCCCTGTAGAGGAGCTAGTAAGAGGGTCTCTGCCCTGTTATTTACGAGACTACTGGACCAGTTTTCAAAGCCGGTCGAAATTCGAAATGCCCAAATGTATTCCTGATTGGAATTCAGCTCCCAAATAAAGGTTTTTGTAAGTTTTATAAAAGTAACCGAGATACGTTTTTGATATACTCGCAAAAAACCAGCAGCAGGGCGCAGATTAATCACTAAGATTTGAAAAGGAACTTACGTGACCTGTGGTCAAAATTTTCAAAAACGATGCGAAATTGATGTATCATATGCTATACCATGTTTCGCGGCGCTGCGCGCCGCGGTTTTCTTGAAGCGCGCAAACAAAACTGGCAAGTGTGGCCAAAACACGGGCACTCGGGCGAAGGTTAAGTACAGGGGTCAAAAGAGATCCAATGCTAATTAGTGTTATTGCGGCTGTTTAATCGTGATTTTCGGGGCGTTTTTCAAAAATGTTAAATTCGGAAGAATTCGGTCTAGGGTGTTCGGAAGAATTCGGTCGTAGTCAACATCCAAACGAACCTTGCAATTGGCCGAATTTCATTTTCTAACCATTTTTGGTGACCTATCAAATATCTCGCATCAATCTTCACTCACGTAATCATCATGTGTTTCAGCTTTGTGTGTCTGATGAGGACAGCAGCGAGACTCAACTACCAGACGACAGTGCTGGTGAGTTTGTTCAAATGGTATGCAGCCATCATAGCATAATACGAAACTGCCACTGGTGGTTGACACCTGTAACTACGGATAGCCGACATGGCGCCATCTGGTTAAACTGACCTGACTTGACCTACCCCAAACGCATAAAGACATAATCTTAAATCAAAACTTACATGAAATTCGTCATTAGGACTCCGAAAAGCATAACCTCGTCATTTGACAACAACGTAACAAACGAGGACTCTAGTGTCTATCAGTGCCTGTAAGCCAGTCATACATCGATCTGAGCCTAGGACGGCGTGTATTTTAACTGCTCGTCTGTAAGCCACGATGATCTAACTGTGGTGTCCTGGTTGCCACCAGCAGCGAGCTGTGCCTCAGGAGTCCTCCCAGCTGCGACGCTCCTCGGAACGCCTCGGGTGTCCGCGGTGCCACCAGCAGCGAGCTGTGTCGCCGGCCCGAGCCATCCGCGCTCTTCTGGCACCAACGGCCAAGTCAAGCAGGTCAGGGGGCCGGGTGCTCGTGGCGCCGAGAAGCTTGACGCCGCCATAGCGTCCATAGAACGCGCGGTGAGCGACCTCCGTAACCCGGACCTACTATTTGGTCAGCTGGTGGGGTTGGAGATGGAGCGTGTGAGGGACGACAAGAAAGCGGATGCGAGACTGGAGATTCTTACAGTCTTGAAAAGGGCGCAGTCCGATTAAAAGCAGGTGATAACCTTCGCACGGGTGGGGGAGGGGGGACGTTTTTCACACATATTTGATAAAAAATGACCAGAATGATTCAAAACGATCTTATAGCCAGACATGTGCATGGATCCGAGAGGTGGATCTATGATCTGAGCGGATCTCTCGAGCTTATGGGTAAGATCTATGATCTGAGTGGATCTCTCGACACAGTTGAGGGGTTGGATCTATGATCTGAGTGGATCTCTCGACAAAGTTGAGGGGTTGGATCTATGATCCGGGTGGATCCCAGATCTAGATTCATGGGATCGAATTTCAGATCCATTTTCCCGGATCCATGCACATGTCTGCTTATAGCGAGCTATATAATGCCTGTTCGGCGTCTTTCCAGCTTCCTTTGATTCTGAGATAATGTGATGCGGCCAAATGCGTCCCCTCTCCATGCAACCTCCACCATGGCGAACTTTGCTGAGCCTGAGTCATATTCTGCGTAGTGTGTATTTCCGCTGTCTGATCGCTATAGCGACCCTTTTTCAAGTTTTGATTTAGGAGTGAATTCGTTTACCTGGTGTTTAAATGTTTGAGCTCCTTTGCTGTGAAGTTGAAGTTGGACGTTACGTGGTTATCTGACTTTGGTTGTTGGAAAGGGCGACAGTTAATGTTATTTATTTCCACTACTTTCGCGTGCAATAAACGACAAAGGCCGTAAATGCTTGTATTTATATGACAGGTTTTTGAGCGTGACAAATGAAACAGCATTATCACACGGAGCAACACCAGTGGCGTCAAAGACGACTCAATTCCCGCCTCTCGCACCTCTCACTTGCCGACAGAAGCAGCCTGCTGCGGAACGGCTCCCCAGCCACGAAGTGACAGGCTTACACGCCCTCACTGCCCGACAGCAGCATCCTGCCAGGGGACGGCTCCCTCGGCCATGAAGTACCGGGCGAACTGGTCGCGGATGCGCTCGGCCTCCCGAGTGAAGTTGTTGGCGCCCAGCCTGCCCAGCTCGCAGAGTCCGCCCACCTGCTCGCCGCTGGCGTCGGCCTGCTGCGGCTGCTGGCTGTCCGCCTGTCCTTGGTCGCGCACGTAGTTGTGCAGGATGCACGCCGTCCTGACAATAGTGCAGGCGTGCTCAGGATTGACGTTCAGCGGACGCCGGAAGATGCGCCACGTCTGGGAGAGAATCCCGAACGCGTTCTCCACTACCCGTCGGGCGCGCGACAGCCGGTAGTTGAAGATGGTGGCCGGAGCTCCCAGCCGGCTCTCGGTACGTCCGGGATAGGGCCGCATCATGTGCACCGTCAGCGGGAAAGCTTCATCGGCGACGATGACGCTTGGTAGGGTCGTGCCTCTCTGATCGATCGCCTTGGGAGGGGGCAGGTCGAGAGTGCCGTCTTGCAGTTTGGCGGCTAGGTCACTCCTCCTAAAAATGCCCCCATCCGACTCTCTTCCGGCGCTTCCCACTGACGTGTACACGAACCGATAGGCACCGTCCACGGCTGCCAGGAGGACGATGCTGAAGGACTTTTTGTAGTTATAGTACTCGCTGCCAGAGTTGGAAGGGGCTTGGAGTACCACATGCTTCCCGTCCAACGCGGCCACGCAGTTCGGGAAATTCCACTGGGTGCGGAAGATCTCCTCGCTTCGCTCCCACGTCGCCCTGGTGGGAGCTGGAAGCACCTCCGGTCCCAGTATGGCGATGATGGCCGCGCATGTGTCGTACACGATGGCACGCACGGTTTTCTCGCCGAGGCGATAGCAGGGTGCCAGCGCAGAAAACTCCATGCCGGAGGCCAGGTACCGCAGCGTCACGGCCAGGCGCTGAGCGGGGTCGATAGGTTCGCGGAAGTTGGTGCGCTGGCGCGTGATGCTGGGCCCGATCTTGGCGAGAAGCAGGTCGAAGGTCTCCCGACTCATGCGGAAGTAGGCATGGTGCCGGTCGGGATCCACGGCACGCAGCTCCTGCACCAAGTTAAAAAACTCGCCTCGGGCTTGTCGCCTCTGCAGCACTTCGGCAACCCAGTACCTGCGTCGGGCTCGACGGCGCTCCTGCTCCACCCGGATTCGAGTCGTGCTTAGTGCGATTCGTGCGATGTTTAGCTCCATGTCGTGAATAGTTAATTGAATAATGACGGACTTTTAGCTGATGTGAGAACAATAACAAACGTTGTTTACATTTCCGTCCCTGCTAAGAGATTGTATTGTCTTCAAGAACAATTTAATGAACCTTTTACGGTTCATATAAGAAACTGACACAAATTAAACCACGGTCAAAGGCGCAATTAATTATATAAATAATTATTATTTATCTGTCAGTGATGTGCATTACCACAAATTATATTACATTTTCATGCATTTTTTATCGAATTGTCCTTGAGCTATCATGGCGGATCCCGATGAAATCAAATTCATCGCATAGTCATCGTTAAATTAGGCGCCGAAAATGGTATTCAGCGCCTAAACGATTAGGCGCTGAAAGCGCGCCTAACCAGTGGACGGCGACCTGAGTCTGAGCTTGTTCTGAGCGAAACGACAAACCAGTTTTTATTAATTAGTGGTTGCATTCTATTCCTTCCAACGAGGGTCCGGCGCATTTTCGACGAAACTGCCGCACGCATTTTCTTGTGTTCGCTGCTGAAGATAGGGGATCATTTTCGCCTTTATTTGGTAAGTAGGCTTTGTTGTGAGGCGGAGTGAATTGATTTTTACCCACACAATTATTGAGCTCTTACATCCTTTTTCAATATCATTTGTTATTTGGCAAAAACCAGCGTAAATGCACAGGAGTAGCACACAACACGCTGACGGCTGACGCCGCCCGCGTAGTCATGTGACCAATCCCCTGAATAAACTCAAACTGGAATCGTCATGATTAGAGTCCCAGAGATGCTTTCTAAAAAAAGACGAACCGAACCTAACCTTACCTACATCGTACAACCTAAATTACTTACAAGCTACAGCCTAAAAGCTACGGTATTGGTAACCCTGGCGTCACCGGTAGCTTTTTCGTTCAAGCTCCTAAAACCGCTAAAACCTACAACCTACCACCTAAAACCTACAACCTACAGCCTACAACAGTAGGCGGAACTATGGTCATGAGTACCCAAATATAGGAACGTTCCCATTTTTGGGAACGGAGTTCCCAAATATGGGAACGGGCGTTCCCATTTATGAGAACGGAAGGCAATTTTTCGGCCGTTCGCCCACTAAACTCAAAAGTGCATCACGTCTCAAAAAAGTGCACGCTGATTTAAGTATCTACTAAATCTCCATAAAGTTATCTTTAATCTGACCGTGGAACAAGGAAATTGACCGTGGAATGATATTTTTAATGATTTTTTAAAAATGACAGAATGGTGGAAATATGGGTTATACGACATTTAACATGCAATTTTAAGGAAAATGAAGCATTTTTTACATTTTGAGGTCAAGTATAATAATTTTCGCCTGGTTATGAAGTTTCATTCTAGCGACACCAGATGCTGACATATGCAAGCGAACACGCGGACAGTCCCGAGGTAATATTGTTGACTTTTGGTGTCGGGGCGATCGACCGCGTGGAACGTCATTGATTTTACCGAACTTCTGTTGTAAACTCAGTTTCAGTGGTTTAAAATCATTCAGCTGTATTTTATCAGCCCTGAAAGACATATTTTATTTGGATGCTAGCTGTTTAGCGTTGTTTTATAAGCAGCGTCATGAGCGTGGTTTTTGTCTTCGGCGTTTCTAAGCATGATCGTTTGGGGGGAATTTCTCTGATATAGGTCGCTCTGTGTGGCTTATTTATAATTTTTATGCTGATTTCGATCATACCTCGTACCCATCCTACCAGGCCTTTTGCCACTTACACTCATCAAGAAAGAAAAAAACTAGATTTTCATTGGGACTAGGTGTTTTGAGGGTGTAACATATTCAGCGTTCCCATTTTTGGATACTTCTTGTGCTCGTCAACTCTCGGTGATTAGCAGACAGGTGCTTGACATGTCTCCACCCTCGGCGCGGACGGTGGATATAGGTATGGAAGACCTTGTTGAACATCGCTGAGCGTTGTGGATTACGTAATCCTGCAGAGGGGGGCGTGCCCGCTGCGAGATCGACGGGAATAAAAGCGCAGAAGACCGGGCGAAACATGCAACGGTCTTGCCGGAAAGGTCATCTGATGATTGTTGCGTTAACAATAATTTGCGGCGTTGGACGTGATGCTTGTTAATGAAAAGAGCCCCTGAAAGGCGTCGGTGAAATCGTTCCCAATTTTGGGTACGCCGTTCCCATAATAAGGAACGCTTGCAGCGCCAGTGTACGAGAGCGTTCCCAAATTTGGGCTCGCGGCCCGGGTGATGGACTGCTTTAGAAATAGGGTAACGATTTGAAACTACGATGGGCCTTACAATATCAAACTCTTTCCCAACAATATTGAGACAACTATCAGGCGGTTCACGATCGTTTTATATTTTTTGGACGTCATTTAACAGTTCTTTTTCTTGTTTTAAATAATGCCTACATGGCGTTCCCATATTTGGGTTTATCGTTCCCAAACATGGGAACGAAAATGCGTTCCCGAAAATGGGTACGCTTGACCATAGTTCCGCCTACTGACAATGTAACCTACAGCGCCTCTCCTTGGTTGCAAAAAACAAGTGTGCTGCCTGCTTTACAAATACCAGGTAAACTGGGGTCCAGGCCAGGTTATCCACCCTGTAGAATCTTAAGGAACTTTGAACGTTTGCCGTTTGGGCACTTTAAATTCTTCTCTCAGCACTGCATTAGGGCAGGATCAGTATACTTGCTGTGCCAGAACATCATGATCGCAGTTCCATGCAATTCTCAACTTATGCGGCTATCATAATTACGAACACCTACTGCAGCTTTGATTCCCAAAACACTATATATTTATTACCCTTTATTGATGTGGTTCTGACAATATGTATGTGGAAATCTGCAATATGTACCCATGCAATGATGGACTTCACAGTTGACCATAGCTCTTAGCATCTAAAATAAAATATATTTGAGTGACTTTATTGATAAAGTTGTGATAACAGTTTCCACTTTCCAGGGATTACTATTTGACATTTTTGTGTTAGTTTCATAAGAGCTGAAAAGTAACAAGTAGTTGTATTTGAACTTGGTTTGGTGTGGCAGCCTTGGGTGTGGCAGTGATGCTGGAGAGTGGGAAATGTAAATTATGATTGTTGCTTTAAATAGTCACATTTTCTATGCAGTTTGCACACTGACACTTTCAGATAGTTAATTCTCCTTGCTTTGCGTATTTATTTTTTATTTATTTATTTTTCAGACTACACTACAAAGTAAGATAGAAGCTTAGTGCCATGTCAGCTAGTGAAACAAAAGGAAATAAATCTGATCATTCTATAAAACTGCCATATTTGTACAAAGAAGGTTCCAAAATTCTTCAGTCATATGCAGAAAAGAAAGGAAGCTTGAAGAGTCTTGTTTATGCTACCAGACAAGAAAGAGTAAGTTTATCATAAACTCTTCTCATTTTGTCCTTGCCCATGTACAATAATAAATAATATTTTCTATTTTCACCCTTGTTTTGGACAACACAAAATCACACCTTATAAGCCTACGTTAAAAGCTTCTTTTAAATAAGTCAAACTTTTCACAGTCACACCCTGCTATGTCAACATTCAACAACATAAATGAGAAGTTTTACTGAATCTGAGCTTTTCTTCATTTGTTAAGTCTAGTAGTCAGGTCTGAAGTTCTTATTCAGTCACCTTTCTCTCTGCACTGCGATGCATGCACCCTTTACCAAGTGCATCCACGCCCCGCCCATCCACGTGACACACAGCTGTACAAGCGGCTGCTGGCGCTGGTATGTCGCGCCGTGGACAACCAGCCGGCGGTGGACGCGGCGCTGAAGGCTGTCGGCCTGCTGGCCGCCGAGCCCGGCCTGGCGCTCAGCACGGCGCGCCTGCTGACGGCTGAGCTGCTGTTCGGCGCCGGCCAGCTCAGCTCTGAGGCGCGGCCCGTCGTCACCGTGCTGCGGTACGCCGACCGACTGCGCGCCGCCGCCGCCGCCGCGCCGGCGCCGGCCGCCGACCGCCGAGCCCCGCGTGAGTACCGCCCCGCGCGCGCCCCGCGCCGCACGCTCCGCTGACACCGGCTTCACTTACAGGTGTGAGCCCGCCGCCGCCGCCGCCGCTGCTGCTGCTGCTCCCGCTGCATCTGTGAAGGGAGGGGACATCTGCGTTCCTTCTCGAATTGACAAGGCTGAAGAAATCCGTCTCCGTATTGACCCAGCTCAGAGACAGGCTGCAACAAACCTAACCAAGAGCTACAAGAGGCGAAAGCTGCTAAAGAAATAGTCGCCCACGATCAGCTGAGTCCTCTAGAGCGAAAGTCTTTGACCTTCTACCGACCCTGCACTCTGCATTTCTCGCTCTGCCTCCGGTAACTCGCCGTAGCAGCGATGGCGAGCGGCTCGGCCGACCGGTTCATGCACTCGTCCATCGAGCGACGTACCGAGCGCACCAACGTGCTACTCAATCTCTTCGTCTACAGTGTAGCCATGTTCACGCTGCCATTCGTCGCTTTCTACGGCGCGATCCACGTGGCCGAGCAGCACTTTGCCGTGAAGGATACCTCCTACCTGTGGGGCACGGCGGCCGCGGTGGTCACCGTCCACGTGTTGATCGCCATGTTCGTCTGGGGCGCCTACAAAGAGGTGAGGGACGCGGAGATTGCGGCGGCACCGCGCGAGATCACGAGGGATGAGCTGAACAGTCGACAGAAGCAGGAGTGAGTCGGATAGGTCGCTGAAAGCGAACGAGTGGGGGAGAGTTGTGAAGGATATTTGATGAATTCGTGAAAACCACTGACGGTTTGACGGTGAGGTGATGAGTGCGGTGACTTTGGATTGAATCGGAGTCGTTGAAGCGCCAAACTGAGCTTATGCACCATCGCCACAGGCGTTCGTTGGCAGTGGTGGCGTTGGCCCTGTGCCGTTAGTCCGAGGACCGTGCGCTGAGCTACTGCCTAATTCTGGTGTATCGGGCGTGAAGGTGATCGGTGTGCAAGACCCCTCTCCAGTGGGTAACATCGAAAGTGTTTTTCGCTGATATGCCTGACCAGTATAAGAGTGACAGACCAATGTCCGATGGAAGTGATGTGACTACGGAAATGAGCGCGATTGTAGTGAACTGGGTAATTATTTGTAAGTATTTGCGAGCCACCAGTAATGTATTGCAGTATATGGTGATGTACAGATTCCAAACACCTTGGTCCGATTAGGTGATGTTCGTGCTGTTTGAGTGCTTCAATTCGTTACGTTACGCGTTAGAACATTCCTCAGTGAGTGTGTTTTAATGAACGGATATTTGATTAGTGACGAATAAGGTTATATAAATTTCAAGATGATATTTTGTTTGTGTCCGTTCCTCACATAAAGAGGTAAGATATTGGTAATTTAACGTGAAAATGTGGTCTCTAGGAATGTCTGGAAACGCTGTCAAAAAAGGTCTTTACTGGTCAGCTAGGCCTAGGAACTGTCTGGACTTGTGTGACGCGTCAAATTTCCTGCGCTATTTTCCTAATTGCTGTTAGAGCATCGGTGATATGCATAATTACTCTTCGCCTTTATGAGGTGAGGGAGGCGAGATCGAGTAACGTCTTGTGACGTTTGCTAGTTTGCTGTATCATTGGTACTTAGTAGTCGTTGCGTTAGATTGATATTGACGAATGAGTGTGGGGAATAAATGTGAGTGCTGCACCACAACGGCTGTTGCTAAATAGCTGCTGGATAGGCACTCTTTCCTGTCTAATCTGCTCCACCCGTGTATTAAATACCTGCTCTTTTCTCGGCGATGTTAAAATTCAGTCGTTGAATGTAATATCCTTATGAACCACTTCCATCGGCTCGATACACCCGGCCTTTATTGTCCGCTCCCCGTCCTCCTAACGGGATGGGACGGTGGTCGGCGCTGTCCCGGGATGAGGGGGTGCTGTATTGACGGAAGGAGAGCGCTGAGTGATGAAGAGTCGATGACACGACGGCGTTATTACCTGCCCGGGCCCCGGACAGCGGCGGCGGCGGCGGCGGCGGCGGCAGTGGTGGGTACTGAGCATAGCCGGTCAGTGCTGCTCAATAGATACGAGCTGACCTCGTCTTACGTTGGAGATAAGCCGCTGTATGTAAAATGTTTTACAAATACCACGCTAGCCAAGCCTCCGCTGCCATGACCTTTGTCACATAACTTAGATTTGCACTGGCTATCAAGCCCAAAAGTCACCAAGACATGTTTGATTACGCGGATAAAAGATTTGCTGCTCAAAGTGCCGTTATACTGATGGGTTAGGACCGTGGTTTTGGGCCTGGTCGTGCGTGAGAGTGGACAGTGTTTGATGTCCCTTGCTCACCATATGCACCTGTCCTCGTGTTCGCCAGTGCCGCGCTACGCCCGCGTCAACACTCTGCTGGCCACTGTTGATGACGTCATCCAGCAGCTGACTACCGAGGGCTGGGAACGAGTGAAGTACCCGCCCACCCTCACTTATGATGGTTTCATCTCCCAGGTCAAGGTCAGTTCAGTGTGGGTTGTACTTTTGGTCTTAAGATAAGGGTTCCAGCAACCGGCACTTTGGATGCGGTAAATACCCTCGTTGGCACGTTCCATTCCGAGTCTGAAGGTGAAGTCTCTCTGACTGTCTAAAAGCGGGGGGGGGGGGGGGAGGAGGATTCAGGGTGTATCAAAACAAACCGCTGGTCGCTAGAACCCTTATCTCCAAACCTGCATCACCGGTGCCAATCCGCGATGCCGGTACTGCTCCGAACTGCCTTGTTCACCACTTATATTCCATTTCTGACATTGGTATTTCCTCCGCCGCTGACGATGTCTGTCTGTTTGTCTGTCTGCCGGACAGTCGCTGTCTGAGCGCCAGTTTCTGGTGGACCTCCACGTGCCCTGTCTGCTGGTGTTCCCGCCGGGGACGGAGCTGCACCGTCACCCCCTGTACCGCGGCGGTCAGCTCATTCTCCAGGATAAGGTGAGAGCCGCGCAGTGCGTGCAGCTGCACTGGAGCAGACGAGCTCGGCGGAGCAAGCAAACGAGCAGTGCGCACCATACTGAACCAAACTAGCACAGCGGGATCGACAGACGACCAGCTGAAAGCCATACTGTGAAACACTGGTGTTAAACCACGCACGATTAGAACGGTCAACCTATTAGTCACTGTGTATTTTAGCAAACAATATTCCTTGCTGGAGAAGTTCTTCGCCTGCCTGACAGGTGTATACGCTCTACCCAGCGATGTTTCACAATCAATAATTTATAGCTCGTTCTTCAAAATATCCTCAGAATGAACTTTCAGCTGTGCTATCCACCCAGCTGTACTATGCCAGACCCCAGCGCCTCTGGTGGCGGCTCAGCGCACCAGTCGGCCCTCCATACGCCTGACACCCGCTCCCCCTCAGGCCAGCTGCCTTCCGCCGGTGGTACTGGCACCCACTCCCGGGGAGTACGTGATTGACGCGTGCTCGGCGCCCGGCATGAAGACATCGCAGCTGGCGGCCATGATGGAGAACAAGGGGTACGTATGCTGGGATAAGAAAAGGGCAGTGGGGAAGAGTGCTGGAGACAGTGTAGCACTACTGCTCGACTGTCGAGATATGCGAGCTGGCGAGCTTGAACAGCGGAAAGAGGCGAAAAAGTCGACAGCTGGGCGCTTTAATGGGCTTGAACTTTGAAGCCGGCATTCCTTAACGGCCTGTAGTAACGGAAAGTAACGGTCTGTCTTCAGCCTGGCCTTTGATGCATCTCAACAGTGTCTTACTCGTAACCCTGTCAGGCATTTGTAAACACTCTAAGTTGACGAGCTAGACTCGACGTGAGAACTCTCGCCTCACTCGGCTAATCGTATTCCGCTGCTCTTCCCTCCGCCTCAGGACGCTGGTGGCCGTGGAGAGGGACCGGGCCCGCTTCGGCACCCTCTCGACCATGCTGACCAAGGCCGGTGTCTCTAACGTCAAACTGGTGAACGGTGACTTCCTGAAGCTGCGGCCGGAGGACCACCCGCGCGTCACCGCCATCCTACTGGATCCCTCCTGCTCCGGCACTGGTGAGTACATAGGTGACCTGACCTCTTCTGGTAAGCATGGATCCCCCCCCCCCCCCCCCGGCGAGCAGGGCACCCATCCAGTGAGCAGAGAACTCCCGGTAAGCAGGAGACCCCCTGGTGAGCAGGAGGGCCGGTCTTCTAATGAGCAGGACCATCCTGGTTAGCAGTGGCCTAATGGGTGCTGATAGACTCTATGGACCCTTTTGTTGAGCAGGGTACTCTCCTGGCGGTCAGTAAGCCTGTTCTGGCACCGATGTTTTTGTGGCTTTCTTTGCCTTCGGTCTTCTTATGTCAGACGCATATTCGGTTGTCACGAGTACATAATCGTCAGATGAATGGTTATGGGGACCCTTTCGTCATGTAAATTTAACCGACCCCTTTTCTTTCCTAGGGATGGTGAGCAGGGAGCCAGAGGAAGCGCCCTCTGAGGAGCGGCTCCGGCGGCTCTCCAACCTGCAGGCCATGCTGCTGCGGCACGCGCTCAGCTTCCCGGCTGTACGGAGGGTGGTGTACTCTACCTGCAGTGTCACAGAACAGGAGAACGAACAGGTGCGGCCGGCTGCGGCGGACGTCAGTGCTGGGTGTGGCGGGGCGGCACGTGAGGGATAAGGGTTGTATGGTGGGATTCTACAGGATTAGATAATAAAAAAGGTACTGCTTTGATGGCATAATTTTTTGATAGGTTCATTTCCTTTTTGACTGGCATGTAAACTCTAACTAACCTCGTGCTTGAAGTGATTCGAATTAACGATACGGAAATCTTTCTCTGTTTAGGCTTTGGGGATCGCCGATCGCCGAGGTTATTTTGCGCCCATTTTCCTGTGTTGACTTATGCTCTTTCTTCTCGTACTCTGTCGACTGTCCCCTCGACTGACCCAACCCCTCCCCCAGGTGGTGGCCGACACCCTGGCCGCCCACCCGGGCTGGCGTCTGGCCGCCGCCGCGCCTGCCACCTGGCGGGGCCGTGCCCGAACTACGCTGCCCGGTGGGGAACTGTGCATCCGCGCCGACCCCACAGAAGATCTCTGTCACGGCTTCTTCGTGGCCGCCTTCGAGAAGGTTCCGGAAGGCGAAGAAGGCTTGAATGGGCGGGAAGGGAAGAAAGCAAGGAGGAAGGGAGGCGAAAAGAGGAAAAGTGCGGATAGCGTGATGGAAATCAGTGCTAACGGGGAAGGCGAAGATCCGAAACCTGCGATGAATGGGCATGTAGATGATGGGGCACCGAAACAGAAGAAAAAGAAGAGGAGCCTAAGCAAGTCATCGCAGGGAGGCGACGCTGGCGCCAAAGCACTGGTGGAGGCAGGCGCAGAGAAACAACCCTCGCCTATGGCAGGAAACGAGAAGTTCAATGGTGCTCCAAATGAAGCAAAAAAGAAGAGAAAAAGGAAGCAGAAACCCAAGAAGTCGGTAAGTGAGGGTGACGAAGAATCAACAAAAGAAACCGGTGGTGAGAAAACGCTGACGGGTGCTTCGTTGGAAACAAAAGAGCCTGTAGAAGGAAACCGGAAAAAGAAGAAACAGAAGAAGCGGTCGAACCAGCAGGTGTCAAATCGAGCTAGTAACGGTAAGGCGAGCGAAGTAGGTGATGCGTCAGTTCAAGATATCTCGTTCCAGAGAGGACGGGAGAAACGCGGAATCAGTGACGCTGATGCGAAGGAGGCAGCCCACAGCGTTCCGGCAAAACGGCGCAAAAGCGAGGGAACAGGGACCAAAGTTCTCAAAGCTGGGAAATACAAGAAATCGGGAAGGCTGTCAAAGAAGAGGCGGAACAGGCTGAAGCACGCCGCCGCCCTCGCTAAGTAGTTTAAGATGAGAGCTCTTTCTACGAGGTGTTACGTGTCCAGAGGCTGTTTTCGTTGACGAAAAGTCCGTCTTTTGTTTAAATATGAATACAGATTTGTGACCATTCTTTTGATACATTTCGCTACTATTTGACGCAGTCGGTAGTTCATATTATTCGCTGTAATATCGTATCAATGTATGCAGTCCCAGAAAAATCACTTGTCTGATAGGTACCCAAGTTTATATTGGTTTAGTTTGCACACACGATTGGTAGCCCCATCGCAAAGTCGCATAACTCGTCTCGAAAGCGTGTCATTCACACATCGTCGATTGCATCAAGGGAGCTCGGGAGTACACATACACACAAACACATGGCATTGTGCGGCGACAAAACGGAGCGAAAAGCCCGTCGGTATCGCGTCAAAGGAACACTAACTTCTGACTACGTTTCGTATAAAACGAGAATGTCGTGCACACTTGAGACGCCAGCAGCAATGCGCATTTCGAGTTTCATACGCACGTCAACAATTCAACACAGTTGCCACGTCCCTCTCCAGTTTAAAACAATGTGACTGGCTCGGGAGCACGGCCCTGGTCCCGCCTGGACCGCGCCCGTCGATAAATAACAGCACCGCGTGCCACTGCGCTGCGCCAGTCCGTATCACCCAATCATTATTGTCCATTGAAACACGGCTCAGAGGCGGGAACTAGAACAACGTGGTATCCAAGCCCCGCGGCCACCGCTGACTACCAACACTCTGTCTCTGGCAAGGAACGCTCTGTCACCGGCCGGTCCGTCACCAGTAGAACGACTGGCTGAGGTACGAGCTGGCCGATGACAGCCACCCGCTGGCCTGCTTGAAGAAGCCGCCGGGCGCCATGGCGTTGGCCGCCGGCGGTGCGTCTCCGTCATCCTCTGGGAGATACTCGGGCAGCTTTTCCTCCTGCGGCCGCTCCAGCGCCTTGGCCCGCTTGGAGACGGGCACCAGCTCCTCGGAGTCGCCGTCGGCGCCGCGCACCACCTGGTAGGCGGCCATCGACTCTGTGCGGTCCACCGCAGAGCCCAGTGTGCCCACTGTCACGTGGTCGCGCACGCGGCACGTGCACCGGCCGCGGCCCATGTCGAACACGATGGAGATCATGCCGCGCACTCGCACCAGCAGCGACTCGAGCTCTTCCCGGTCTCCATCGGTTACTAGTCCGGTCACATGAAGCGTCACCACTTTGTGCTTAGGTCGTGGCGCCGGCCGCGGCTTCTCGCGTGCCGCGCCCGGCGAGCTGGTGGCTCCTGCCGCGGCCGGCGGCGCGGCGGACCGGTTCAGCTCACTCAGCGCTCGGTCTGCCAGTGCCAGCACCTCGGGGCCCGAGTCCTTCATCTTGAGGCAGCGGAGCGCCGGCTCGAGGCCGTATGTGCGCGCCAGCTGGCGCCGCGAGCTGCTGGAGGCGCACAGCAGCACGATGGTGTGCAGCGCCTCGACCACGATCGCCTCGTCGCGGTCCTCGAGCACGTAGGCGAGGAACTGCGCCACGGTGCCATCCCTGGTGAGCGGCTCCACCTTCTGCGGGTCGGCGGCCATCAGCCGGTACTGCTGCAGCGTGCGCAGCGTCATACTCTCAGCGCCGGAGCTGCCGGCGGCCGGCGCTGCGGAGCTAGAACCGCTGCTGGTGGCGACTTCTGTGCTCGAGCTCTCAGAGGCAGACACTGCAGGACCAGCTGAGCTGCTGGCATCAGTGGTCACCAGACTTGCACTGTTCTTGTCATGGTCAGTGGCCACACCACCAGTGCTATTTTCAGATGCCATGACTGTACCAGACTACCTATCTGCCAACGAAATGCATGGGAAGGTAAGTCATTCAACAAACACATCATTTACAGCCCGATGTGATTACATTTGTTGATGCAATAGACTGTCATGCTCAGCTGGAGTTCTAAAGTCTTGGTTCAACTGACTATTCTTACACATGACCACATGATACACATGATACACATGACCCCACACTCCACAGCCCAGATCTCATTTTACTATGCAATACATCGTCCCATTTTCAGCTAAAAGTTATACTTTAAGTGATGTCAGAGCTTAAATGCATCTGAGTCGATGCAATTAATTCCTGTCTCCTGATCATCAATATCAATATATCCTGTGTTGAAATGTGTAAAAATCAATCATTACTTGACAAACACTCTATAAAAATAGCAGCCAAAGCCACAAAATCATATCTAAATCACATAAAATATTTCACTAGGGACTTAAAGGAGGTGCATGGGCTGCTGCTAACCTATGAACCCCAACATAAGATCAACAACAACCAAAGTCGGAATAACTGCAAGTGCACAATAAATTTTCCAGCATGACATATGCATGGTTATTGGGATAACCTTTTGTAAAATTGTATTATATTAATACAGAAATGTTAAAGCTAATATTTAATTATATCAATATAGGTGTAATAACAGACAAACCCAGATGATCTTTGTCAACACCAAAACATACACTGTGACCAAAACTGCGCAATTAAACTTTTATGATTTTATCCGTAAAAACATACCAACAAACTCCTGAATATTTGATAGAAGTTTTTGTTAGATCTTTTCCACACGTAAAAAAATTACTTTAGCCCTTAGATCGAAGAAGCAAGCGGAAAAGAACGAAAAAATAAACGAATTGTACATATATTGCATAAACAGCTGCGCTAGAAATGTCTAAATGCATCGATGGCTGTTGAAAGCAATTTCAAAGGATACCGAAGTGCAATTTTTCGTATTTTGATGACGTCAAAGCAAGTCTAATTTTTATTCAATGTTGTTAAAAATGTTACAAAATGTCATATTTTAAATTCAACGGTATTACTGGTATTCAATTTTTATAATGTAATCATTTATAAAGATAAAAAAGCTCTGAAACCTAGACAGTAAAATAAGACGTCATTGATTCAAGAAAAAAACTGCTTTAGGAATTCTAGCAAATCGTCCTTTATTTAGTCAAACCTTGGCTGCAACTTGCAAAAGCCGATTTATTTACAACAATTGGCAGTTCGCGCTGGATATTTCTGGTGGGTGGTTGTGTCGCACTAGCTGGGAAGCAGAGTGTAAAGTGAAATAATTTAGCGCTGAGAACCGCGTAAAATCGTACACATCGGTTGACGGTATCGTCGTCTGCAACTTAGCTTGAAGGTGATGTCCAAAAAATAGCGCAAATAATTCAGGAACAGGGAAGGATGATGCACAAATTTGTGGCCGCGCGGCCTTACTATTCCAAGCTATACCTAGTCGTCAATTTGTCACGATTTATTTCAGCTCGGCTCCAATTATTAACACTATTGCATTGTTAATGTTAACTTTGGTGTGATTGGTGGCACTACCACTACTCCAATTCTGGCTATGCGTTCTGATTCTCCTGTGTCAGTGTCCTAGTTTGAAATCAGTTGAATTCTGATTTCCTGTGCACTTATTTGGTACAAGGATTGTGATACAAATGTGTTGCTTTGATAACAAATTAATAACTTCCAGCTATTTTGATATTGATATAATAAACGATACATTTTAGAGATTACCTGTGTTCACTATCATTTTTGAGATTGTGATGGCATTGTCTTTTGACTTTAATCAAGTAAGTTTTGTATGTGACATTGACTGTGAATAAATTAATGGCTGCTAGAACAAGAGTAGTTTTCAAAACAGCGCAGCAAGGAAGAATAATGAAAATCGGGTAATTTTTGGAAGGAAGGTGCCTATCCATTTAAAGGAAATAGTTCACATTTTAACATGGGTTTTGAACTGGAATAGCAGTTCCGTAGCTTGGGCTGAGACGAGCATAAATCAGGAGCTTTTACAGCCCAACGATCACCCTAGGCAAAGATATTCTATTTCTCGTCCCGAAAAATGTGTCTTGCGTTGAGGATGTGTGCCTTGCATATATTCGCATCCAGTATGAAACGAGCATGGGTCCCGAAAATTCTTCAGAAACTAGAGAAATTATCTACGAGAACTCTAGAGAAATTCGCTCCAGTGAGGCGCTCCAGTAACAAAAGCACGAGCAGATCGCCCAAATGCCGGTGGCCGCGATAATTTTTCTAGTTCTGAAGAATTTTCGGGGACCCATGCTCTTTTCATACTGGATCGCGGTGCCTTACAGAAACTGAAAAGTTCTTCCTATATCAAAAATATAGAAAATAATCTTTTGCTGTAAAAAGGTTTTATTTTCTTTGCTGATCATTTTGAACATAAAAAATCACAAATCCATTGCAAAAAAAATAATTTCGTGAAAGTGAACTATTTCCTTTAAGCAATTATTGCCCTGAAATGGTTATTTCTTAATAAATGAATTTGATAAAAAATGCAAGATTAAAGATATGTATGCCTCTGTGCCATCCATATTTTTATTAGGTATATTAGCTAATTGTTAAAATTCAAATGCTAAATCATGGTGGGACCACTGTTGTTATTCGCCTTTACATGGTTTTTGTCCGTGAGACACCTGATCACTCTTCTGGGTCATTTCCTCTGCAGGCAGGGGATGCTGCTGAGATGAGGCGGCCCCCACTGCTAGTGCTGGCGGCCACTCTGGCCGTGGTGTCCGGAGTGGCTGGTGGCCTCTCACAGAGCAGTGGCCGGTGGAGCTCCAGACAGCCCTTGCCGTTCGACGTTCCCCTGTTTCCGACCCACTTCACCACGGCTGCCACCAGCTCCGCGTCCGGTGAGTACCCAACGCCTTTCCGTGGTTTTGATCAACGATCCTCACATCCACATGCACGTGCCCTGGGTACCGTGAGCTAGTGAGGTGGGTTTGATATGGATGAAGCCGGCAATCCCTCTGGGCCTGTTCCAGCGCCTCCAGAAGAAATTCTTGACTGGAGGCTCTACCAGAGGTTTTACTGGAGGCGCTGGAACGCAATCTGGAGATTTCTGGAGATTGGCGTCATAGATACCAAAGGAATGACGATCGTTCTCTCTTGAAACGCAAAATTTGTTTTCAATTTTAGTTAAAAAGATAAATAAAATTGCAGCAATGTAATTTTCTTTACATTGAAGTTGTAAAATAATCAGTCAAATGTCCTTTGTTTACATTCGTGATTGTCACATGTGCACCATAATTGTAGACCAGAGCCTCCAGAGAAATTTGGACGTCTCAACTCTCTGGAGGCTACTGGAGGTTTCTGGAGCTTTGGCGAGAGCTTTCTGGAGCTTTCTGGAGGCGCTGGAACGCTCTCTGGAGGATTCTAGAGCTTTCTGGAGCTTTCTGGAGGTTTCTGGAGGCGCTGGAACAGGCCTTCTGAATGTTCTGAGAGCCCGCCATACACCATGAGCTTGATAACACCAAGTGCCGATCGTAGGCGTTTGGAGAGACCCTACTCTGTCTTGTCTGTGTCTCAGCCCTTATGTCAGATACAGATTCGAGAGACGCTCTGTTTGGAACTTTTGAAATGCCTGCGTGGAAGCAGAGAGCCAGCATGTTGCAGCTCGTTCAGGCTCTGCACATGTGTGCATGAATCGTTTGCATTACATCTGTGAATTTATGACGATTTCTTTGTCCATTTTTTTTTTTCGAGCCGGCTATCCTCTTCTCAAAAGCGCAGGTTTCTCTCGGAAACGACCGGAGTGCACGCTGACAGGGACGGCGGACGACGCTGTGTCAGTTGTAGTGATGTCAATTTCAGAAAACATATGTCCAATGTACAGGTCTCGCGGGTTTTAGCGGTAGGTTTTGCACCTAGAAAATTTAGTGTACTTCAGGCTATATCTTCGTCGTCTTAAGCTTTTAAGTGTTGAAGCTGCAATCGACTTGTTGGGTAACAAGCCGGCCATGATCGTGTAAAATGGCTTCATCGTAGATCGATTAGTTTCTGAGATATAGCCGGAAATGTAAAAGTGAAAACCGTAGTTTCGTGCAACTTTGACCACCAAGGGCAACTTTGGCCCACTCCTGGAAAACGAACTTATTTTGCTGTAACTTTTTGCAATTAAGGGAAAGTGAAGTAAAACGGTAAGGGAAGCCTACCCTGACCGTCTTACCCCACTTTCCCTTGAGTGTAAAACGTTACGGCAAAATAAATTCGGTTTCCAGGAGTGGGCCAAAGTTGCCCTTGGTGGTCAAAGTTGCACGGAACTACGGAACCTACCGCTTAATCTCGCGAGACCTGTACGTCCAATGTCCAACACTTACGTCGACTGTCCGTCCAAAATTGTCCAAGCCAGCCATTTGTCCACAGATGTCCGACATCTACGCAATAGTTAACACTCAACACCGTTATTTAATTTGCTTTTAATATCGTTACCAGCTCATAAGTGGTAATCATATCGAAAGCTGAGCTTTCTAATAGCCAGTCAATGTTAAACACGATTACTTTATAAAAATGTTGAGATATAGCAAGGCGCGATTGTCCAAAGTTGTCCAAAGCCTGCTGGCATTGTCCAACCGAATTCCGAATTGGACATTGGATAAAATCGGATTTCGAAGATTCAAGTTCCGATTGACACCACTAGTCAGTTGACGCCGTGCCGGAGACCTGTGGGCGCGACCTAACAGGCCTCCGGCCATTTTACGTTTCCACCGTGGTTGGACTGTGCGATATCGGCTCGTTCGCTACCACCCGGCAGATAGTGTGTTACGTGGGCGTGTCTATATATTTCTACCCAGGAACGTGATTGCCAAACATATTAGGTACGAGGAGTTTGCTCCAACTGACGACTTCCATCCTTGGGGTAGGCGAGTTTTGTCACTTGCGGTTTCTTGTGGAGTTAACGATTTAATCCAGATCGGTCTTGTTTTCCGTGGGAAGTATTTGCATCATGTGGGAAATTTCACGCTGCATGTTCGCAAGATTACCTGGCATTTTTCCGTGAACCTGAGCGGCCCATTGCCCTGCACTTCACTGCGTCCACAACTGCTGGTTGCTGCTAATGGCCTGCGGTTTCTGAAAGCTGTCACAAACCGTTGATTGTTACGGCTCATGCGTATGCGGCTTAAAATATGTTTGGAGAAGCTCCTCCTGACGACACCTGGGACTGCGTGTCTCATTTAACGACACCTGAGTGACACACGCACGACGGTAGACGCCGACGGTAGTGCTGATCGACCTCAAACTAGTCTTCCAGTGGTTGACGGCATCGACAGTGACTTTAATATTGTACGTAGACGTCAGTCGTTAGCACATACCTGCCGCCCGAGGGGGCAGTAAACATGCGGCCGTGCACGAGGCGCGATGATGGACCTTTTTGTTGTCCGAGGGACGGCACGCACTCTCCATTTGTTTGCTCGTGTCACTGCTGCGGGCCGCCTGGTGCGTTTTTCACCGACCAGCAATGTCGGATGACGGGGGAATTCTCCGAACTGGCTATAAACAAGTGCGAATTATAGGGCAGCTGCAGACTGCGCCGCCGCTCAGAATCAGCAGGACGTGTCGGCGCTGACCGCGCTGCGGTCGGCCGCTAACCGGCATTTACGCGATCATAAGCAATTGTGGGATTTCGGCAACGGCTGCCCACAATAGCAGAGCGCGGCTAATCATGTTACCGAGCTGCACGGCAGGCCGATGTCTGTGTGACGTGCGCCGGCCGTCCGCTTCGCTCTCCGGACGAGGCGGACTGCACCTGGGGCTCTCTGCGGCGTGGCGCGGCGCGGAACGGCCACCCACAGAGTCCGGGAGGCAGTACTGTCCTCTGGGCGGGCGGGCGACGAGTGCAGAGACTGAGACGGAACGGCTGGCAGTGGAGCGGTGACTGCCGCCTTTCGGCAGAGCCCGGTCACGACACGGCAGTGATGGACCGCATTTGTCTTATAGCTGAGCTACAGATCAGCGGGATGGGGTCAAGTGATAGGCATTTGAGCTGGCGGTATGCTGGTATGCATCGCTGATGTCATGGGTGGCATTCTTTCATCGCTCAAAGCTGACTTATGTCACTGAGTGAACGCTGTTTGAGCTAAGGGAGCGAGGGCACCGCTCTACTTTGGACTCTGGTCAGTCGTAGAAGGTATTGGTAATGCTGTTTGAGTGATGAGTATACTGACACTGTCTGTGTAAATGTACCCTCTGAACAGTGTGCCAGAGCCAGAGGCGCCCCTGTCCGAGTTCAGAGTGTCTCGCGAGCAGAAATCGCCTTGGATCGTTGATTTGGCCGACGAATGCGATTCGTTGAGCCGAAACTGAGCTCAGATCTAGGCGCAGCACCGCTTCAGATGATAATATGCCCTGACAGTGTGCTGGCCTAGGGAATTACTATGCTGAATCAATCGGTTTCTGTGCTGAATATGTGAAACTAGATCGCTATTGATGTTGACTGGCGCCTTGCGGGATCCGGGTCCGATGGGCAAGCTGCCACTGACAATGCTATCGAGAGGCGAGGCCACGACAGCTCTTTTTACATTCAAGTATCTTGAATGCTTTGATGCTGTTGACAGGGATGGCTATTGTATGTGAAAACTCAAATGGATTGCACCCTAGGACGGACTGTGGTGCGGGCGTCAATGACCTCAGCAGTACAGACGCCCCCTTAAAAACCGCTCTGTGGTTGATTTGGTGAGGGCTGCTGATTGCTACAGAAACGGTTCTTTCTAGATAATTTCGTGGTAAGCTGTAGGCGGACTCGGCCCTTTGTGCCTGTCTCTGTACTGTGCACGAACCACTTTATTCTGTCGCCCCGACGTCGGTTGCAAGCTATCTCTGGCAAACTGAGCTATCGAGGGAAGTCGCTGTCCACAGCCGCCGGCGGCTCACCCCATCTGCACGCTCGGCTCATCGTTTGCACGCGCGGCGGCCCGCAGTTGCACGCGCACTGGTCGCCGGCCGTCTCTGGGCCTGTCGCCGGACGTGGCGGTCTGTCGGCGCCGTCTCTGTGACGGCACGGTCGCGATACGAGCTGGCCGGCCGGGCCTTTGTGGTCCACCACTGGGAAAACATACTCGGGATGTGGGCGTGATAGGAGTGCGGTTGGTGACAAGTGGGTCGGCGGTGATATACCCGAGAAAAGTTGTGTGCAATGGGATGGGTAGGCTGAGAAGTATGGGTGGTCAATGGTCATAGAAGAGTGATTATCATATAGCCGCATGGCTACCAACAATTGACGATATAAGGTTGTTCTTTTATTGTATTGCTTTTTGTGCAATGTGCAATGTGTCCCATTCTTGTGTTCAGGTATTCATTAACTAATTCCTGATGCTGTCATAACTCAAAGGTCTTGTGAAGTACTTGTTCGTTTCAGGTCCGATCGCTGAACATTTCAAATCCGATAGTTGATTACTGCCTAATCGGTGCTGAAAAAGGATTGATTCATCGTATGTCGACTATATAACAATGGAGTGGACTGCAGTCTGCAGTATTAGCATATCGAGACGGATATGAAGTGAATCGTTTATGGAAGACATATTGTCTAACTTCTTTTGGCATTTCACAATCCATTTTGCCTGTGTGATTATCGTTCGAAGCATTGTAAGATGAAACACCAGTCTGTCCACCCTCTCATCACGACATTGGGCGCACTCTCTGGTGATCCCGACTCTTCTTTGAAGGACGGCTGACGATACCGCTCCCATCCAGGCGGACTGGGGACGTATGGTGCGACGTGGGTACGATTGAGTGCTCTACCACTATTCACAAACCACCGCCGTACCAAACCGGTCCCGCGTCAGGCCCTATTCGCGTCACATCGCGTCGCGAACTGACCGAAGACCGGCGTGGTGTGGTGGGGTCTGACCGGGCG